CGTGTTGACTTCAGAGATCTGTAAGAGAAATAAGAGAGGAGGGCAGAGAAGATACATGTAGGCAATAAATGATCTGCTCCTGGGTGAAAGAAACTGCCTTGAAGGTGGAGACATTACCAGGGGGAGATTGGAGAGAAAGAATAGAAGGGAGAGGGATGTCTTGAAATTTCAGGGCTGTTCCCTCTCAGGGTAAAGAAACACGGCTCAGTAGGAGTGACCCTGGCCATGAATGGAAGAAAAGGGATAGTGGGAAGGGAGGGAAGCCACAGGGCTATGGGATGAGAATGAAAGGGTCACCCAACACAGGGCCTCCAATGAACTCTCAGACTTTTGCTCCAGGGCAGCAAAAGAATTTTGTTCTGGAAAAAACAAACAAACAAACAAACAAACAAAGCAACAACAACAAAACAAAATAAAACAAAACAACAAAAACCCACCAGTGGTGGACTGTCTTAAGAAGGCTAATTGTGTTTATTGTGAGAGCGACCCTGGCGCCGGGCCACTCTTCTTGGCCTCCGTAGTCCATGCAAGGCTCTGTTCCTGACGTCTATGGGATTCTCTTACCCCTGATGTGTCTTGTTGTCTGAGTCGATCTTAGCTGGTTTTCCCCATCTGATCTCCTTCTCTGCACTCAGGCTTCTACCTGCAGACCTTGTTTCCACTGCATAGCCTTTCCTGGTCTCCCACACCTCCCACCTCTGTATCTCAGCAGGGAAGTGGCTGATTGGCTCTTAGTCAGCTTTTACTATTTTCTGTCTTCAGTTCCAACTCATTCCTCCCATATACTCAACTCTCCTAATGGAGACTTCTCTCCATTAGCTCTCTGAAAGGAGCATGCTTCTTCCTTGCCTTGTACAAGAGTGTTGTCAATGTGAAATGAAACGAAAAGGATGACCAGCAATCTATGCTATCTTAGTCTTCACGGAAAATGTATTGAGCTATATTTTCTTCCTCTTCCATTAATTTCTCATTGTTTTTCAGTTTGCAAACTCCATACTGATGCAGATGAACAGGACTCAGTTGGTCTTTGTCCAGGAGGAATATTGGATCTTTCTGGGCTATAGAAATTATAGGTTCATCTTTGGCTATACTCTGAAGCTGTGATCTGTGAGCTGAAGGCAATAAGAAATAGCAACCAGAATTCCCCACAGTGAAGAAGCCCTAGTTGATGTCAATCGGTAGCAGCAGTTGCCCACTGTATGAGGACAGCCCGTTCACTCTAGTTAACTCTTCCTGTTCAAACACACATTACTGACACGGGCAGGGCACAAACCACTTAGCCAATCCCTATTCTGTTCCCAAATGACAAAATTAAATGCTTGTTCTCACTGCTAAATTTTGAGATGGCTGGTAATGTGCCAACAGATTAGAACATGGAATTTATGTATTTATGAGTTCAAAATGCAACTCCAAGGACTTAGTGCCTTTGCTTCTCAGATACTCAATGAATTAAGCATTAACTGGGAGAAACAGGAGGTCCGTGATGCAAGATGTTTAGGTATACTGTGTGAGCCCTTAGATGACACTAAACATTGTCCCACTCAAATGGATGACATGTTATACAGGCATGAACTAGTTCTATATCTCCTTGGAAGAATGAATTTTGGTTATTGAAAGAAAAGAAAGACAAAGGACTTATATGAAAAACAGTGTAATAGTCATAATTTACATAGGCTTGGTCCTTGAGGCATGTACGTTTGCAACAATTCAGAATGATTGGGTGAATCAATCCAGGTGGTGTACAATATTTACTTTTTTTTTTAACTGTTATTGATTCTTTGTGGATTTTCACATCATGCATTCTGTTCCCAATGATCTCCCTGTCCCCTCACATCTGCCCTCTGCTCTTGCAACCTCTCCCCCAAAGAAAACAAAACCAAATTGAAAAGAAAAACCAAAACCCAAAGAAAACAAAGAAACAAAACAATAACAAATAAACAAAAAGACGAAGAATCTTGTCGTGGAAGCTGTAGTGTGGCCCGTTGAGTCACACTGTTTAACTTTCAGTTTATCCATCTTTTCTTGCAAGTGTTCATTGCCACGAATCATTGGTCTGGTTGAGGCCTCTGGTTTCTGCTACACCATTGATAACGGGCTCTCACTGGGACTCCTCTTAGATATCCTGTGTCATGGAGATCCCGCTGTTTTGGATCTGTAGGTTCATCCTCTTCATATGCTCCAACAGTTCATAGGTTCAGTAGATGCTGGGGTGGGTCAACTCATAGCTCTGGTTCTGGGCTTGGGTGGTGGTAGCTGGGTTGGTCAGCTCATTAGCTTCCCATGAGGTCTCTAGCACTGCCTCGGCTAGTTCATCCAATGCAGCCTACAGCAAGGAGCAGGGGCCAGTGCTTTTGCTCTTGGGCCCTCAGATAGCCAGGGTCAGCTCTACTGTTTAGCCCAGACAAGGTGCAGGGCCCTCTCTCCTGATTGCTGGAGGGGGCATATGGCGATGGGGTTGGGGGCAGATCAGTTCTCTTGCTGTCATGTCCTCAGGCTGGCTCACCTGTGATCCAACAACAGGATGAGCTCTAATGTGCTGCCCAGACAGGGTGGAGGGCCCCCTCTCCTGTATGCTGTAGCTGGTGTAGGGCAGGGCTAGTTCTCCCCCTCCCTTGACCCAGGAACAGCTCTCTCACCTACCACAGCTAACAAGAGGCAGAGGGGGAAGGGCATCTTTCCCTCACCCTCACCGTCCACATGGCAGACGAGGGGGTGTGGTCAGCTCTGTTGCTCTCACACCTTCAGGGCTGGCTCACCTGCGTCCCTGACCACAGGGTCAGCTCTAGTGTGCTGCCCAGAGAGGAAACAGAGGCTGCTTTCTTATGCATTGCAGCCCGTGAGGGTTAGGGCTAGCTCTCCTACTCTGGTGACCCCAGGGCTGGCTCTCTCACCCACCACAGGTGGTAATCTGTGAGGGGGGAAGGTATCTTTCCCTCACCCATGCCACCACATGGTGGTGGGCACAGAGGCTCTCCTGCTCTCATGCCCTCAGGGTCAGCTCACCTGTGTCCCCAACCACTGGGTCAGCTCCAGTGTGCTTCCCAGGTGAGGTACACGCCTGTGGTGAGGGGTGGGACTATCTTTCTCAAGTGCAGGATGAGTTCTTCCCTGAAGTGTAGGGCCAGACTACCTGCTGCAATATCCAGCAAGGGGCAGGACCTGTCATCCCTGGGCCAGTGAATCGCTGGGCTGGTTTAGCACAGCATGGCTCCAATGACCCCTGTGCAAACACCGGCCATGGACATCACCACAGACCCCAGATGCAGCAGAACCATGAACCCAGACATGGCCCTTGGCAGTAGCCGAGATACCACTGCAGCCCCAGTGGCAGCACAGGCCCCTCAGATCAGCCATTCATGTCAGCCTTTCCCTCAGCTCTCTGCATCCACCTCTCTTCCCAGCCGACAAATCATTCCACCTCTCCCTATCTTCTACCTCTCCTCCCTGTACTCTTTCTGTATGATGTGAATATATGTTGTTCCCATTGGTTAATAAGTAAACTGCTTTGGCCTATGGCAGCTTAGAGGCAAGCAGGAAATCCAAGGAGAGAGAGAGAGAAAAGAGAAAGGTGGAGTCTAGAGAGATGTGTGGAAGGAAAAGCAAGATGCCAGCAGACTGCTAAGACCACGGCCATGTGACAAAACATAGATGAATAGAAATGGGTTAATTTAAGATATAAGAGCTAGCTAGCAAGAGGCCTGCCATAGGCCATGCAGTTTGTGAAGAATATTAAGCCTCTGAGTGATTATTTTATAAGCAGCTGCGGGACTGAGGGGTGGGCGGGACTGGAGAAAACTTTCAACCACATGTCCTAGTTTTAAAGATGTGGTTATGTGAATGCAGACTGCAAATCTCAGTAACCTATATGATGTTGATGTGACCCCTCCCATTCTGCTGATGAAGACACTGGCTTGTATCTTAAGCCCCTCAGGCAATTCCAATATGAAGCCATAGGACTGAATAATCATTAGATTGAATCACCTCTTATTTTATTACTATTATTTTAATTCTGAATTTTAGAGCAGTGGTTTTTCATAAGCTATCTTTTTCTCTACATTTGTTTCACTGGGCTTTTTGGGATTTGAAGGTGAGCCAGTTAATATACTATAAAATAAATCAGTTCCCACTTATACCAAGAAGACCATCTTACTTATAAAGACACCATCCTCCCCCTCCCCTTCCCCTTGCAGCTCTTTTGATTTCTGGCACCCTCTGTCCAGACACCTCAAGATACCATTGAATGTCCAGGATCTATCACCTGGCCAATCCTGTCTCTCAGAGCCCATGAATCTCATAGTTTATCTTGGGACACGGAGATGGGCTTTTTGATGTCTAAATTTGTTTATTATTTCAACCTCTTCAAAATGAACATTGGTTATGTCTCTGAAAGAAAATTTTGTTTTCCAAGCAAAAAGATATTATAAAAAGGGGGCCCTTTGTTTAAGTGTATTTCTTTTTTATTAAAATCCCCATGACTGCTATTGGCTTCAGAGAACACTATGATTAAACTATGAAGATTAATTTGGAAAGCAATAAACACCAGCAATCCCACCCTCCCATTCACATTGGTTCTCCAGTCTAGGCTTGTCTTTGTGGGAGGGAGGAGAGGGATCCATACATAAAAAGAGACAGAGGAATGATCAGAACACTTGACCTGCACCACCTGCTTAGGGGAAGAGGGGTATGTCTGTCCCGCTCTTGATTTCTTTCCATCTGTTGGCTTGCACAGACTTGCCTCCTTTATATCAGTTATTTAATTAGGTTTTTTTGGGAAAGCGTTTGGAAATCAGTCTGTGGAGATATACTTCATTGGTAGGGAGGAACAGGATGCAGGCAGTCTTGGGGCAGAGGGCAGCTTGGTTTATTAGGGGGCAAAATTCTGAGTGAAAGCTTTCTTAAGCCTTGTGCTTCTGCTCTATAAACTCATTCCCTGAGACTCTCTGTGTCTCTGCCTGTCTCTGTCTGTCTGTCTCTATCTCATTTGTCAGGAATCTTTCAGCATGACTGGGAAGCCTGTGCTTCACTACTTCAATGGAAGAGGAAGAATGGAGTCCATCCGGTGGCTCTTGGCAGCAGCTGGAGTGGAGGTAAGATGCCCAACAGAATTGTTAGCTGTGTTTCCAGGTCTTACATTGAGCACTCACTTGGCTAAAAGTCATAGAAAACTTTATGTTCTTTTCAAACAAAAAGTAGCTTTTGACAAATACTTTTTAAATGTTGGGTTGTCAGTAAGTTAGTTTTATGAAATAAATGCTCAAATCCTGTGAAGACCAATTATAGATATTATGCTCATTCAAGATAGTGTAATGTTCTACAATAATTAAGAAAAAGAAAGGTAAGAAGGAAGGAAGGATGAGAAGGAAGAGAAGACTCGTGTTGTATCTCAGCTTCTCTCAGTTCATCTCTCAGTTATCAGCCCAGTGAGACCATCATCTAATTACATTTACCCGAAGATCATTAAGAAACAGAGGCTTAATTTTTAAACACTTTTTATTATTATTATTATTATTATTATTATTATTATTATTATTATTATTATTAGTGTGGGGGAGGCATGTAACACACATATTTCGAGGGTAGAGGACAACTTGTGGGAGTTTGGCTTCCTTCTTCCAGCAGATCCGGAGATCAAACCCAGGTTGTCAGGTTTGGAAGCAAGCACCTTTACCCACGGAGCCACCTTGCTGGCCTTTTGATAATTGGATTCAAAAGTGTAGAACATCTCATAGAAACAGGTATAGCAGTACACACCTGCAAACTCTGCACTTGGGAGGTGGGGACAAGAGGATCAAGAGTTTAAGGTCATCCTCTCTTACACTGCAAGTTCAAAGCCAACCTAGTTTACATAAGACCCTGTCTCAAAAAACAAGCAAGTAAACAGAATAACCTGATGTAAGAACGTGTCATTTGCCACTACAATTGTAACTTTCATATATACTTTAATGAAATTTAAAATTATTAAAAATTGTATTTTCAGCATATTTTGTTTATTACTTTTTTTTTTGAGACAAGGTTTCTCCATGTAGCCCAAGTCTTCATCTCTCTCTCTCTTAAAAATTAATAACCAGCCGGGCGGTGGTGGCGCACGCCTTTAATCCCAGCACTCGGGAGGCAGAGCCAGGCGGATCTCTGTGAGTTCGAGGCCAGCTTGGTCTACAGAGTGAGTTCCAGGAAAGGCGCAAAGCTACACAGAGAAACCCTGTCTCGAAAACCCAAAAAAAAAAAAAAAAAAAATTAATAACCTTTCTTGATTCTTTGGAATTTCATACATGTATATAATGAAAAGTGATCATACCCTCCCCCCAACACTCCCCTTCTTAAACATGCCTCCCTCCCAACTTCGTGTCTTCATTTCTATTTTTTTCTCTCTTCCTTCCTTCCTTCCTTCCTTCCTTCCTTCCTTCCTTCCTTCCTTCCTTCCTTCCTTCCTTCCTTCTTTCCTCTTTTTGTACCCCATTAAGTCCAGTTAACGCTGCCTGTATATGCATGGTTATGGGGCCACCCACTGGAGCACAGGGAAATCTACCAGTCACTATACCTTGTAAAAGAATGATTCTCTCTCTGCCAGCAGCCACCAGTTGCCAATAGCTCCCCAGCAAAGGGCAGGGCCTGAAGAGCACTGCCTCGGTCTGTGCTGGAATTTTGTCTGGCTCGACCTTGTGTGTCTATTATGCAGATAACCACAGCCACTGTTGGTTCAGGAGTGTGAGGGCCACTTTAACATCCAGAAGACAGCCTTTCACAGTATTTCTCCCCAACCTCCCATCCTCTGGCTCTTACATTCTACCTCCTCTTCTGTGATGTTCCCAGAGCCTTGATGGATGGTGGGGTTGATGAAGATGTCCCATATAGGGCAGAGCACTAGAAGTTTCTCTGACTAAGGTTGAGAGTGGCCCAAAGTATGTGGGTATAAACGTGTATTTTCAAAAGGCAATTTGATAGCATGGCCGTCTAGCAAAATAATAATATCAGGTTCTATGCCCGGGCCTATGACTTTCCCAGTCATGTGCTTTTGCCCGGGATTATACTTCCAGGCATGAGATTCATTCCTGTAGAACAGGCCTCAGATACAATCAGATTACAATTAGTTACCCCAATAACAGTCATGCCACTATTAGACTAGTACTATTGGACTAGTAGACTATCTTGCCTGGCACATTGGTACTACAGCATGTAGAACTCAGCACTGGGTAAGACCATTGATGTCTTTTCTTCCCCAGAGGCCTGTATGCCATGTTCTGGGACTACAAAAGCTAGCTTGCAGGGAAGAAGTTTACAAGTGGGTTTGAAATTGATGTGTCTATACTCTGGAAACAAGTGTGCCATGTCCTCAGCAGTGGAGTTTTGCCATATAGTTATGGTATGTAACCAAGAGCAAAGATGATAGCCTGTGTTGTTTTAGAGACCTCTGAGGCCTCTCAACCAATAACTTGTAGGGAGGTGTCCCATGTGATTTTCCTTTAACAATCCATGTCTTTTTGGTGCAGCATTGCCCACCAATACAGGGTAATTCCATTCGAATTTATTTACTCTTTGAATGTTATAGTTTGAAGTTAGCTTACTAGTTAGTAAATCTTCATAAGGTTTTCTCGTGTATCCTTAGTTTTGGTTAGCCCATTACTCATTCATTTCCCTATCCCCTGCCCACACCAGCACTTAATGCTTCTCTATTCAGTTTTATAGCTCATCTTTAATGGGGTTATTATTTTAATGTTTAATTTTTTTAGTTCTTTGTATACCCTAGACACGAATCCTCTGCCAGATGAGGAACTGGAGATGATGGTCTCCGATTCTGTGGGCTGCCTCTTCACTTGCTTACAGTGTGTTTTGATTTACAGAAGTCTTTTCATTGCATGAGATCCCATTGATTGATTTAGGTCTTATTTCTAATCGCTACTGGAGTGTAATTCTGAAAGCCCTATTGTGCCTGTAAGTTCAAACATACTGTCTTATCTCCAAAGGTGAATGACTAGAGAGCTTTCTTTAAATTTATGGCCAGTCCCAGAGTGTTTTAACATAAAAACAGCATGCATTCCTGGAGACTGTATATTCTGTCTCAGCCTTAACAGAGGGAATCAGGGTTCTTGTTCTCTAGAAATGGAGATGTCTTTTTAAAAATTGTGAGTGTGTGTGTGCATGTGTGCAGGAGTGTGCATGCCATAGTGTCATGTGTTGTTAGAGAACAATTCTCGGGAGTTGGTTCCTTCCTGTTATGTGGGGTATGGGTATCGGGTTCAGGCTATCAGGTATGCCACCAAGTGCCCATCCATTGAGAAATCTTACCGACATACTCCTTGCTTTTTCCTCCAGCATTTTCAGAGAAGGATAACTGAGGGAGTGAGACCTACCCGGAAGGTGCGCAGCAAATGTGGACTGGGGTTCTAGACTGAATATAAAACAATAAAGCCAGCTAAGTGCCAACGCTTCCTATTCTGCCTCCTGATCTAGGAAGACATAAGGAGTCCCCACTTTCTCTATTATTAACTCTGCCACACCTTCCCCACCACGGAAGACTGTAGAGCAAAATAAAACCTTCTCTTAAAAGGAAAGTTAATAATAAAGCCAAAATTCAGTAGGATTGTCACCTCCAGCTCAGTTAGCATAAATCTGTCTTGTTAGTCCAGTCTTTATAGTTTTACACTTTTATCTAGATTCCCAACCTGTTCTTGTATGCCTCTGGGAATAATTCATGTAAATGACTCCTTTTCTGATTCATTCTATCTTTTTTTTCTTATACTCACTCAATATTATGTTTTTTGATATCTAGCCATGTAGAGTTGGATAGATGACAGATGAAGAAAGAGAGATGGAGTGCCTGCCTGTGTGTAAGAGAGATTCGAGTTAGTAATACTTTAATAATAGCTTTTAATCTTATTTTTGTGGATTCTTTCTCTAGAATATGAAATTATATAAGACACGCACAGCAGATAAAGTGAACTCAATACCTATCCACCAAAAACACTCTAATTATTTTAGGGAGCAATAAATATTTTTAAATATAGTTTTTCTATAAAACATTCTATAACTTGTATAAAAGTTTTGATAATATTTTAAGAGAATGAGAGGGTAGATTTTTGAATCTGTCTTTGTTTTAAAAGGTGGTAAGGAAAAGAAAAAAAAAAAAGCCAAGTGACAGTGGTGCAAGCCTTTAATAGCAGCACTCGGGAGGTGGAGCCAGGCGGATCTCTGTGAGTTCGAGGCCAGCCTGGTCTACAGAACCAGATCCAGGAAAGGCACCAAAACTACACAGAGAAACCCTGTCTCAAAACACCAAAAAAAAAAAAAAAAAAAAAAAGTGGTAAGATTTCCTGGAATTTGTAATCCAGCTGTTGGATTTCAGAGTTCAAGTCACACTTGTCTTCAGGAATCAGAAATAAAGGCAAGCTCACACCAGTTTACCACCCTCTAAGTGTTGAGGAATGCTGAGCAAGGAATCCTGTCCTGGTGTACTTAATTAAGGTCCTATTCAAAGAGGAGACTAGGCCATTTAATCCTATTTAACATTCCCATGCCACTCATATAACCATGAACAACAAGTTCTTATGTTCTTTGTTCTTTGTCTCCTTCTCTAGTTTGAAGAAGAACTTTTTGAAACCCGTGAAGAATTTGAGAAGTTAATCCAAGGTGAGGGAAACAGTTTCCACTCCCAGTATTGCCAGAGGCCAGAGATGATCATCAGCTCTTGTGAAAGGCCCCCTCTGCTCCTCTCTCTAGTATTCCAAGAGAGCAGTGGAAGTCACGTGGAGAGTAACTACCAGGATCCTAGTTCTATGTAAGGAAGGCGCCGCCTGAACCTTGCAAGTAGGAGGAGGAGCGCACCCCAACTTTCTAAGTTGCGATAATTGTGACTCTCATCCTTTTCTCCCTAATTTGAGGAGATGCTTTCTGCAGTTGCTGCATGGTACTGCCCTGCTGTTACTTTTCAGCTTTCCAGGATATAGGCTAACCTCTTTACTGATTTATTTTTAAGCTTTTTTTTGGCTCTTCCAGACGAGGTCTCATGTAACCTAGGCTACACGAACCCATTATGTGGCTGAGCATGACCTTGAACCCCCATCCTTCCTACCTTCATCTCCTGAGTGCTGGGATGACAGGCGAACGCCACCACACACATCTAACACCTTTATATTAAGTTCTCTCTGCTAGAGTAAATTGTGTGGTTCGGCCTGCCTGTTAGATCCTAAACGATGAGAGGAGACTAGACCAACCCACCCAGCTTCAAAGATTATAAATGGAAAAATGCAGAACAAGCCTCACAGTTGCCCTTACTGGGTGGGTGGGTGGGTGGGGAGCGCAGAGGGGTGAGGCAGAGACAGAGACAGAATTCTTTCTAATCAAAGAACCATTATCAGCTTACATTCCTTATCTAGTTGTGATTTCTTGGTTGGTTTGTTTTGCTACAGAGCATCTTGGGAAAGCTGAAGAAATAAGTCCAATGTAAATAACATCACCCAGATGGGAGCTCATTTGTAGAAGGTGTTGTATTTTAAAAACAGCAGGCAGCGGTCACTGCCGGTGGGAGCAGCGGGGAGAGTTTTACTGGTTGGAGGTGGTGGTGGGGAGGGCGGAAGCAAGCAGAGGATGAGGAGAGAAGAAGAAAGAGAAGAGACAGAAAACAGGAAAGAGAGGAGGTGCAGATGCGACCTCGTGGGAAAAGAAAAGGAAGAGAGAGGAAGCCTTTTTTTTTTTTTTCCCCCGAGACAGGGTTTCTCTGTGTAGCTTTGGTGCCTTTCCTGGATCTCGCTCTGTAGACCAGGCTGGCCTCGAACTCACAGAGATCCTCCTGGCTCTGCCTCCCGAGTGCTGGGATTAAAGGCATGGGCCACCACCGCCCAGCGGGACCCTGCCTTTTATGGGGGAAGCAGCACATGCACAGAGAGACCACAGTTGCAATGAGCGCACGATGCTGAGCAGGCCAAGGTACCGCCTATGCACTGGCGAGCGCATGCGCGCAGGGATGATGTACCCTATTAGGTCCCCAAGGGGTGGGTCTGAATGCTAACAGAAGGTAAGAGCATTTTCAATAAGAGCAAATTTCAAGAAAGACTTTGAATTTAGAGTGAGGGTCAATATTTACGTGTGTTCTCTGAAAAGCAACGGTGAGTGACAGAAAGAGTTCATCAGTGGTGTAGCATATGACTTCAGGAAGCAACCAGATGCGGAGGAGGAGTGTGTAAGAAGGCTGAACTCAGAATTACAACAGAGGGTGCAGTCAGAATTCAAAGGTAAACGGTGTCCAAATGAGTGTCATGGCCATAGGGAAAGAGACTACGGAAGTAGAGGGAACATGGGTCCAAAGGAATGCTTTGTATCCACGTGTATCCAAAAATGTCCCCAAATAACCAAAAATTGACCCAAAATGTCAAATATCATGTTTTATACTCAATATAATTTTTGGTTAAAGAATACATATTTCGCCGGGTGGTAGTGGTGCACGCCTTTAATCCCAGCACTCAGGAGGCAGAGCCAGGCAGATCTCTGGGAGTTCGAGGCCAGCCTGGTCTACATACTGAGTTCCAGGAAAGGCGCAAAGTTGCACAGAGAAACCCTGTCTCAAAAAAACAAAACAAAACAAACAAACAAACAAAAAAGAATATATATTTCTCCTCTTAGTTTCTAGAAAGTACTTTGGTAAATGGATTATATGGTCCTATTTCATAGAGTCTTTAGAATGAAAGGAAATGTAGTTACCACTCTGGAGACCAATAAAATCTAGCTTCCCATTGTGTATTTTAAGGTGGAGCCCTGATGTATGAACAAGTGCCCATGGTTGAAATTGATGGAATGAATTTGGTGCAAACGAGAGCCATCTTAAGATACATAGCTGCAAAGTACGACTTGTATGGAAGAAACCTGCAAGAACAGGCCTGGTACAAAAACCGTTTGTTACTTAGAGCAAGAGCCAAAGAAAAACAACAACAAACCCCATCCACAACCAGAACGCTAACATTTAGCATCATTAGAAGCCATATTCATAGTGTAGATCTTGATAGACTGATACAAAGCCTGCTTTTGCTTTTGCTCTTGACTGGAAGAATCTGTTATAACAAGTTCCAAAGAGAAAGAATGTCATGATAGGCCCCATTCCACCACATTTACCTTCAGCAATAATTAATTTGGGTCATTACAACAGCTTTAAATTTTTTCTAGTGGTTTGTTTGGCTCAATCACTTTGGTGCTGTAATTCCTCGTTTCCCAGATTAATTTGGTAGGCAGAGTTTTGCTACATAGCTCAGGACAACTCCCTACTAGGATTCCAGGCTTGTACCACTGCCCCTAATGTCAGGTTGAGCTAAGTTAATATCCTCAAGGAACCACTTGCTGGTATAAATACTTGACTGGAGTTCATGAAACAGAAAAGTAGACCCCCAGTCACCAGGCAGGTGAGATAGATACTATATAAAATGTGTCACTGGTCCATAAAGTGTTCTTCCTTGTATTGGTAATTCTTCTATAAATAATCTCCCTTTCTCTAGGATTGATATGTATGTAGAAGGCTTGAGGGACCTGAGTGACATGATTATGTTCTTTCCACTCTCTCTGCCGGAAGAGAAGGAGATAAATCTGGAATACATCCTCCAACGAGCCACGACAAGATTCTTCCCTGTTTATGAGAAGGTGAGCAACAAACTTTGGCTGTTTTATAGCTCGCATTAAAGAGAAGAAAAATCAAATAAAATTGAAAACAGAACTTCCTTGGTGGATGAAAGATTGCAAATGCTCTGTGAAAACTTGGCATTCTTCCCACACTTGTATGAATCTTCTTTTTTCCACTGCGGTTTCCTCCTTACTGGATCCTTTTCCCTCCCTTCCCTCCCTCCCTCCCTCCCTCCCTCCCTCCCTGAGTCCCTCCCTCCCTTCCTTCTTTCTTTCATTCCCATTTTGTGTGTGTGCATATTGTGTGTGCTCATGTGTGTATGTGTCTGTATGAGTGTGCAGATGTGCACACCTATGCATGCATACAGAGGCCAGAAAAGGACATCAGGTGTCATCCTCCATCACTCTGCACTTAGCTCTCCTTTGAGATGGGGTCATCCCTGAACCCAGAGCTCTTGTTTTTAGTTAGACTGGAAGCCAGCAATCCTCAGTGATTTTCTGTCTCTACTCACGTCAAAGCTGAGTTCAGAGCTTCGGTGCCAGGAGCTCTCCGATTATTGTGGATGCTGGAATCCCAACTCCAGTCTTCAAGAGGAAGACTGCCTTTTAATATTCATGTTAATTCCAAGAAAGAGGCGTTATTATCACTCCCCTTATAGATGAGGAAATCGTAACTTAGAATAACTTGACCAATGTTATACAACTGATAAAAGTCAACACTTACATTCACAACTCTATAAATAAGTATCACACGTCCAAGTCTATAATAAGAACACAGACTTTTGGGCTGAAAGATATATTAGTGACACCGATTCCATTTTTTCATTTTTATATTCAATCAATTTTAAATCAACATGACACGAAATGTATAGATATGTTGGAAGAACACTTGCTAACAAAATTTAGGTTTATGTCCCTAGAGGGAGACATTTTCCCTGTACACAGGGAACCTTCTAAAGAGCTGCACATTCAAGGAAACTACTTAGAGATGGGGTGAGGATAGACTATTGCCACACACCCAGAAAAGCCCCCAGACTAGGGTGCTGCCTAACTCACAGGGTAGGTGCAGGGAGATGAGAAGGGAGCAAAGGAGGATGAATATAAAGTGTTTCCTGGGTTCAACTGACCGGAGGGTCTAAACTAAAATGAACCCAAAGAGATCTGGGATAAGGCTTAAGTTTGGGATGAGGCTTAAGCTCACGTTGTTAGCTGGGGACAAAAACAGATTAACAAATAGGTCTAACTTCTCAAAACTCTTCTGCCATAACTAAGAGCACTTAAATTTTTGAGAGTGGCCCTCATCTTCTGCCTCCTCCATCCCAACTACCCTGCAGGCCCTAAGAGACCACCAGCAAGATTTTCTTGTGGGCAGTCGGCTGAGCTGGGCGGATGTGCAGCTCCTCGAAGTCATCTTAATGGTTGAAGAGTGCAAGGCCAATGCTCTCGCAGGCTTCCCTCTGCTACAGGTAACGCTATCTAACAGTTCCTAAGGACTTCAGAGAGAATGAACGGGTGGGGGTTATTTCTTTATTCCTTCACTCAGTCATCCATTATCCTTGAAGAATTCACTTTCATCTTGATGCTACATCCTGTGCTAGAAATGTAAAGATGCCATCATTAGACACATCTGGTCCAGAAAACAAGCACACAGGCAGGTGCCTTCCATCCAGTGTGCTCAGTTAAAAACATGGGGACGCAGGTAAGACCAGCTCGACCATCTCAGAGACCTGGGGGAGGCTTCTGCAGGAAGTGAATCTCTGTGATTTTCCTGGCATGTGGTAGAACCTTAATAAAGGTGCTTCCTAAGCTGGTGCAGTGGTTCACACTTGGGGCTGTAGCACCGCAGAGGCTGAGGCAGGAGGGTCTCAAGTTCAAAGTCAGCCTGGGATGCCAAGCAAGATCCCTTTCTCAAGAACAAACAGTTGCTTTCCTCTGGGGGGCGGGGCAGGTAAGATGATGTCATGTCACACAGCCATTTCTTAACAACAGCAGTGACCACGGAGGAAGCTCATCTTCCCTCCACTGTCCCAAGAACCAAACACACTTTCACTCACTCATTTAGAGCATCCTCAGAGTAAAGAGACAGGACCTGGAGGTTAGGAAACCTCTACATTGTGAACTGGTAAAAAAGACTGGGACTCAAACCTTAATCTCATTACACAACTATCAGATAGATAAATCCCGAAGTTTGTCATTTTAAAACTAAACTTAAAATATTTGAGACTTACTACAATTCTGAAGCCTCATTTTTTCACTTCATATTAGTGAAAACTTATTTGGAATAGCTATCTGGTTCACTTCCTATCTTTTCAATGTTGCCTATTTTATATTTCTGAACATTTCCTGATCATATACAGCTCCATTCAATATCTTAATTAGTGAAAGCCAGAAGCACCTACTTACTATGTGAGAGAGAGCTTTACAAACGAGAAAGCATCCATTGTAGAAGTTTATGAAGCCACCAAAGTTATTGAAAAGATCATATAACAGCATGAAAACCACTGATGGCCTAAGAAAGTGAGGACTCCCCTAACTGTGGGCCTCACTGTGATGCTCTGATGTTGCTCTTATGGGTAATATGTCAACAGTATCATTACATGTATGGGCTTTTTCACATTTAAGACATTAGGATATAATTCTTAAAATGAGATCAGTTGGTTACAGCTTATGAATATTTTTGTTACTCATAAAAATACTGCAACTTGCATTGTACAAGGGTAGTATCATTTACCAATGATAGACAATGTAGAAAAATTCCATTATCCTTTCCCACAGTGCAGAACACAAATTTTGTTTTTAAAATTTGCACACACTCACACACACCTACATACACGTGCTCTCTCTCTCTCTCTCTCTCTCTCTCTCTCTCTCTCTCTCTCTCTCTCACACACACACACACACACACACACACACACACACACAGAGCAAATGCTGGAGGAGGTCGGGAGAGAGTGTCAGATCCCCTGGAGCAGGAGTTACAGGTGACTTTGAGCCACCTGATGGTGGTAACAGAGCTCAGTTCCTCTGGGAGAGTGGGAAGCTCTCTTAACCACTAAATGATCTCTCCAGGGAATACAAATTTCACACATTTTTTTCTCATTTGTAAGAACATACCTCCTTTGTATTTATCTTGCTACATTATTTTCTCATGGATTGTGGCCTTTTGCATTCTAGGAATTCAAGGTCAGAACCAGCCAAATCCCTACAATTAACAGATTTCTTCAACCTGGAAGCCAGAGGAAGCCTCCGTTGGATGATGAATCCATTTCGACTGTGAAGAACATATTCAAATTTGAACAAGGCATGTTTCTTAAAAACATGAGCACTATAGTAGCTGAGTACTAACAGACACAGAGGCCCAAGTGACTCAGTAAACATTTCACACTGTGTTTGTATCAATAACCAGGAAAACATCCTTGAAGCCATGTTATTCAAGAAATAATAAATGTGCAAGGAAGTAAACTACTGGAAACTTACCAATAAGTCAGAAAAGCTAACTCTGGTTTGAAATAAGACATGCTACCAAGAAGGAGTCCAGGAAACCAAGTAGGGGTTCTCTGCATTCTGTAAGTGCTAGAACAGACTTGTATGTAGTGAGTGGAAGTCAGAGTGTCCTCATTACATTTACGTGTGTGTGTGTGTGTGTGTACACCTGTGTTTTCCTTGGCACATGTGTGGAGGTCAGAAAATAATTCTCTTTATACCCTGTAGGCTCTGTGGATTGCACCCAGGTGTGGTAGTTTGAAATTGGCCCCCATAAGCTCATGGGTAGTGGCACTATTAGGAGGTGTGATTTTGTTGGAGTATGGCCTTGTTGGAAGAAGTATGTCACTGTGGGGGTGGCTTTGAGGTCTCATATATGCTCAAGCTACACCCAGAGACAGTTCATTTCCTATTTCCCGGGGATCAAGATGTGGGACTCTCAGCTCCTTCTCCAGCACCATATCTGCCTGCACACTACCATGTCCTGCCATGATGATAGTGGACTAAACCTATGAACTGTAAGCAACCCTAATTAAATGTATTTCTTTATAAGAGTTGCTGTGGTCATGGTATCTCTTCACAGCAACAGAAATCCTAAGACATCAGATTATTAAGTTTATTTGCAAGCAACCTTGCTGACGCTAAAAGATTAAAAAACAAAACGCAATAATAACAAAAACATGCACATCACCATCATTCACTTTCACTGCTTTTTGTCAATAATTCAGAATGCAGCATAGCTTCAACTACCTTCTAAAACTTTCCATCATTTACTATATATTATACATATAGTAAATATTTCTGCAATCAGTCACATGATTTGCCTTTATTTCAGTGTCAATCACAGTGTGAATAGAAGCCATTGTCCACTTTGGCTGTTGGCAAGGAAGCACCACCTGCCATTTCCAGTCCAGCATGTGGTAGCAATCTCTTTGGCATTACTGGGTCAGAGGGGATTCCTTTTTTTCTGTTTTAAAGGGGATCCTTTAAAGTATACCAAAGAAGTATGTACAGGTTTCCTCTGTGGTTCACTTAGTGGGTTTGCTTTCTCCATCTCTCAATTCCTGATGGCTGAGAGTTTAACAACCTGCTTGTAAGAGTAAGTTCCCCTGCCTTCCAGCTTGGCAGCCAGAGCTCTCCACCCCTTCCCATTTCACCAAAGGACTGAAACTGTGAGTCTTGGTGCCCTGAAGGGCATGCTACCATGCCTTATCCCTTAGGGATGAGACACTGAGTCCTCAGGGCATGACTGACTTCCCAGAGGCCACAGGAGCCAGTGAAAATGAGCAGGTGGTCCGTCTGGTCCTCAAACTGCCTTGGACACTACCAGCTACAACTGTTCTTAAAATGGAGTGGTGATCTGACATGGAGGAGAAGAGAGGGAGAAGCCCTGAGAAGGATGGAGAGCTGGTGTAAACAACACTCCTTTGACATCCTTTTTACTAATACTGAAACATGTAAATGTCAAAGATGATTGAGTTTCTAGAAAAGATGAAAAAATGAATGAGGAGGCTTAAAAGAAAATGTATTTTATTTGAATACTGAATACATTCTGTTAGGACACTGATGAGCTGAGAATGGAATTCCTTCAGTGCAAAAAAACCCCTGGCAACAATACAAACAAAATCCCTAATGTACCAAAGTGACATACGACTCAACAGCCTGTGGTTCACTCCAGGGATCTCATTACCTGACAGGTCGCAGTTTAATTTATTTGATCCATAAGTGTTTGGAACTGTTAGAAGCAGAAAACAGCAAGCCCCCAAATTCCACATACAAAATGACACACAAATGAATACATAACAACTCATTAAAGATCAGGATTAACAAATAGAAACAGCTAAAATTTGTGCTTTAGATAAAGGAGGCAAACAAATATGGCCAACTAGTTTTGAATATTAGGATGACAACATCATTTTCATTTCCGAGTAAGACATTTACCACCTATTGAAATCGATCTTTCAAACACAAGAACCTGCTCTGTCAGGTCCAGTAGAATGATGGCAGTTTGGCTCTTGGCTCCTCTAGGTGCTAAAACCACAGTAGGACTAGTCTCAGGATCATCACGAGGCTGAATAAACAGAAGAGAAAGGGAAGGTCACTGTGATGGACAGGAAGGTCATGTGCTCCCTGTCATGTTCCTGTGCTGTGGCCTCTAAGGGTTCTATTAGCCCTCCATAGAGCAGCGGGCAGGGCATTAATTTTTCTTGTGTTCTGACTTCTCAGATGCATCTTAAAAACATTCCCTGAACAGATAAGAGAAATCTAACCCTGATGCTCAGAAAACCTTGGATAACAGATTAAGGGAGAAAGACCAGGAGAAATGTAAACTTCCAAAAGCTACCCAAGAAAAGCAACTGTAAAAAGTAATCAAGGGTGCTGGAGAGATGGTTCAGCAGTTAAGAGCACTTGCTGCTCTTCCAGAGGACCAGAGTTCAGTTTCTGCATTCATGGCAGCTGCTCATAATAATTAATGATATGGAACTCCAGCTCCAAGGGGTCTGATGACCTCTTCTGGCCTCTGTAGGCACCTGCACACTCATAGCATATACACAAATGTGGGTACACACACACACACACACACACACAAGTGTTTTTTAAGAAAGAAAAAAGGATCAAGGAGAAATTCAGTGGGGACATTTTTTTTAGAGTACCAGGAACATTCCATCACCTGGGTCCTTTCTTCATCACTAACCCCCACTTTTGATCCTTCTTAGCATCAAACACTATCCTCAGGTCAGGGGTACTAACTGGAAAGTTGCCTTTGGCAACTCCTCACCACACCACAAATAAAAAATATCATACTAGATAAATACAGAGCCACTCTAGAAAATTCTACAGCAACAAAAGATCACCAAACTATTCAGGAGGCTTTAACTCAAGGCAAACGTACTACTGATACTTTGAAGTAGTTTCTTCTTATCTTGGTTTTTGCCACAGACATCTTTAAACATTGGGTCAAACTGTATTTGATGTGTTTTTTAATTTTATTATGACATTATTCATTTCCAATGACATGAGCTGGTTTTTCCAGCACGATATGCAAATGCCTATTTAATATCTCTTAAACAGATAAAATATTTACATTTATTTTCTGGGCACCTTTAATTTTCTGGCTTATGTATTTTCTACTAGAAATACAGCCACAGTGAACATTAGGCCTTGTGTACTTCTTTGAAATAATTTCTGAAAAATGAAAATGTGTCCCAAAGGAAGGCAATGTTTATGGCTTTCAACACTCAATGGCAGCTTCCAGGAGGAATTAGAAACATTTTCTCTGTTTTACTTGATAATATGTTTAATTTCACAGGATCAGGGCTGGGGATATAGCTCAGTGTCAGAGTGCTTGCCTGGCATGTGCAAGGCCCTGGGTTCAGTCCTCAGCATTGCAAGATAACAGTTACTAACTAGTAACTAGCTGTGGGAATGAGATTTGTTCCCCAGGCTCATGTGTGAGTGAACACTTAGTCTCCAGCTGGTGGTGCTGTTTGGGGAGGTGATGGCATCTTTAGGAGATGGAGCCTGGTTGGAGGAAGTATGTCACTGCGGTGTGGGCTTAATTACTTGAAAATCCATCTAAAGGAAGGAAGATTTACTTTGGCTTGTTTTCATATATTTCAGCCCCAGGTTGGGTAGCTCTATTGCTTTGGACATGAGACAGGGTGTTAGGAATGGGAACATGTGAGCTAGAAGGCTTCTTAGCTGGTAGTAGCCAAGAAGCAGAGAGAGAGAGAGAGAGAGAGAGAGAGAGAGAGAGAGAGAGAGAGAGAGAGAGAGAGAGAGAGACAGAGAGAGACAGAGAGAGAGAGAGACAGAGAGAGAGACAGAGAGAAAGAGAGAATGTTAACCTTTGAAGCACATAATATCAACATAATTGAGTTTTATACATAATTTTCTATAAGCAAAAAAAAAATGATCTCAAAGTAAGTAAATTCTGGGTAAGATAACAGACTAGAAGCCTCCTCTGTATGACTCATTGAAGGAGAAGAATTGGAACAGAATATAAAAATAGACTCTTTTCTAAAGAGAATCAGAGGAAGAATACTATAAATTTGTAAAGATGGTGACAAGACACCCAAAAAGTGCAGAGGAAAGACCAGCACACTGAAGTAAGCCAGGCCCACATTGCTCTAGATGCACAGTCCCAGGACAGCTGAAGAGAGACAGAACCTCATCCAGACCTAAGCCCTGCAGCCCTGGGAAAGCCCAGTATCTTCACAAATCCCAAACCCAGTTGTAGCTCCTGGTGGACACTGATTCTTCTGTCACAGCTGAAGACACCACAGACAGCCGTAGAGAGGAACCCGAGTCTGTCATTCTGTGACCTGGAGGTCAGTGAGCAGGTGCTGTCTTCAGAGGCAGTCTAGAGACAGGGACAGGGTCTGCCTGTTACACTACAGAAGAGGAAGAGGGTGGCCCGGTCACGAGGACAGCAAAGGACCAGCTTCATGATGGGAAGACGGGAACAAAGGAGAACTAGGAAGGAGTACACAGAAAACTCCCTGGTACTATCAGGGGGGACAGAAGAGAATAGACAACCATCCAACCAATCAGAAAACAACCACAAATTTATAAGAATTAAGTCAGGTGTGATGGTGCACACCTTTAGTCCCAGCACCAAGAGCCAAAGGCAGGAGGATCTCTGTGAGTTTGAGGCCAGCCTGGTCAACATAGTGAGCTCTGGGACAGCTAGGGCTACAAAGAGAGACCATGCCGAAAAAGAAAAAGAAAGAAACACACCTCACTGGTGAAGACACTCACAAAAGGAGAGTCAAATATCAAAAATAAATTTATTAAGCAAACGAAAGCCCAAAAGTAAGCTGGTGTATTATTTTGATAGTGAACAAAATTGACATTAAACAAAAATTAGAAAATATAAAGGTCACTACATAATAAGAGAACAATTCATGAAGAAGACATAGCAATTATAAATATTATACATACAAAAATTTGAGTTAGCAACTGTATAAAGCAAATATTAGTGAGCATAGAAGACCAGGCAGATCTGTCTGGATACAATAGCAGTGGTTGCCTTTAACAGCCCAATCTCATCTTTAGATGCGTCATCCAGCCCCAAATCGAACCAAGACACTTCAGATTTAAACTTCACCACAGATCAAATGGATTTACACAGATACTCAGAATATCCTATCATACACATGCAAAACACACATTCTTCATTATAGCTTACAGTGCCATCTCTAAAATACTCCATAAGGTAACTACACCTGCCTATAATTAATCTTTTTAATGCTCTTATTTTTTAGACTGGGTATGGTAGCAAACTCTTTTAATCCCATCTCTCAGGAGGCACAGACAGGCAGATCAATATGAGTTCAAGGTCAGCCTGTTCTACATAGTTAATTGACCCGTCCCGCGGGCCAGGTTATTGGGGAGACCCGAGGAGGCACCTCCTGAAAGATCAATGGGGGCGAGAGAGAAAGGAGACCAGGCACATAAGGGAAGACAGAGTCAGTCTGAGTCGCGTCAAGGTCTCGTTTATTGACTGGGTATTGAGGCTTATAAGCAGGGCTTCAGGCAGGGAGGGGGAGCAGGGGAAGGAAGGAGAGAAGAATGGAAAATTCCTAAGGAAGGGTGAGGTCGCTTTGGTCCCAGGCCCCTGCAGCTGGCTGATTAGCACCTACTCCAGGAAGTTGTACAGCCCTCGGTTAGGCCAGGAACCTGTTTTTGCAAGGTTTGATAAAGTAAGGAAGGTCACACAAAATTCAAGACACAGCTGTCCGGAGTCGGTCTCCAACAGTTAATTTCAGGCCATTCAGGGTTACATAGTGAGACCATTTCTAAAAAGCAAATAAAACAAAATAATTATAAAAAAATAATCTGCCTGTAACAGAACGAAAGTATGACTATGAAGTCCAGAAAGTTTAAATATGCATAACTGAAAAACTAATTAAGTATTTTATATCCTTATTGTTTTGTGGGGTTGGGTCTATTTGGTTTTAACAGGTACCTTTCCTGGTATGCCAGTCGGCACTGGAGGTAGCCATTTTGTCCCCTTTACCAGGAAGTTTCCTTGGACCCAACATTCCAGCCTTTCGTTGAGGACAAGGGATGACATACTCTTCTTTAAATACTTCCTGCTGGAACTAGAATGTTGTTGTCAGGACCCAGGAAGGCTGGAATGCTAGTCAAAGACCGGGAAGGGGTTCAGGCAATGGGCGTTCATCAGAAGCATCTGGTTAGCTGACCCAGCTGAAGGGACAGTGAGCAATCACACCGGAAAATTACTTTCCCAGAGGGGAAGGCATTTATTCAGATCATGTTGTTGAAACAATGAGGGATCCTAAGAAGGTTCTCATTTTCTTTGGGGTAGAGAAAGTGTTCTGTGAGTCTGAGGGGAGAGAGAAGGCTGGGGTGAGGGTGGACATGGCAGGGTGGGAAGGAAGCCAGGAGAACTCAGAGGCAAGCATCGGGACGCTACTGCCTCCAATCCCTGCGACTCTTCCAGGGTTTGGTGAATCCCCTAGGACCGGTTTAGACTTTCCAGTTCTCAAGATATAATCACATTACTTTCCCAAATACTTTCACTGTGGAAGGAATAGTTTCAGCAAATGAATGTTACAAGATTTAATGTACATGATGTTGGATTAGTTTGTGCATTCTGGGGAATTCTGTTATTCCCCACACCACAGCATCCTGGAGCTTTCCTCAATACCTGGGCTGCTGCTGTACAACAGAGAGCAGAGGGTTCGTCCTGGTTACTATTTTCAGTCTGGAGAGCAAAACTGGAGTGGCATGAGAATTTACCAAGAGGCACGACTTCCTGTCAACTTACAGTTCTTTTCTGGGAGCTGATCTCCCCGGACTCGCAAGATTCAAAATGCTTTCCAAATCTGACATTCTGTACCACTCCTCCCGGATGTCTAAGGCTAGTAGCCCTGGTCTCACAGCATGAAAGCTGGATCTTGATGTCACACCTACATCGGTCTGATCCTAGAGACAGTAAGCTGTAAGGGAAGTCGGGCTTTAAACCAGATCAACATGGATTCTTTGGACATCCTACTTTACCTTTTAGAACGTCAGTTCCCTCCATTGAAAACGGAAACAATTTGTAGACAGCCTGTATGTACATTGCTTGGCTTCCTAAAAATAAAATAAAATAAAAAACCAAAAAAAACTTTCTTCATTTGGGAATCCTAGCTAAAGGAAGGAGTTGCTGCACGCGTCGGTCCGCCGGAAGGGGGCAGCAGACTCCAGCCCTGCGCTCCCGGGACCCAGGAAGCGTGGACAAGCAAGTCTCCCGCAGATCCAGAGCTGCACCCCGCTTCCGGGCCTCCGAAAGCAGAAGGACACGGGATCAGGGACGCCGCGTCCCCTGAAGCGGCTCCGAAGAGGACGCCGCTCTCCCTGCTAAGGTGGGACCCGTTGCGGCAGTGCGCTGGCGCGGAAACTGCTTCCGGGGTGAGGTACTGCGCTTGCGCGGCCCCACTTTTCCTCTTCAGCTGCAGCAAAGGGCTCAGGGCTGCAGGTGAGCTGTGCACCCATCCCATAAAGGAAACTTTTCTTGCAATGGCATGAAAATAAACGGGTCTTTGCTGAGCATGCGCCCTCTTCTTCAATCTCTCAATCTCCAAATCAAGAAAAAAATTCAGAGGACCTGGGGAAGGAGGCATGGAGGCTGCCCTCCCAGAGCTCTTTCCTGTCCTGATGCTGGCAATTTCCTGAATTTCTGCCTTCCCGGGGCCCTAAATATCGCACATATTTTACCTTCTACCTTGCCGGAATGGGGTGGGGGGTGGTGATCGGTAAGGTTCAACCAGACTTCCTTCAAAAATGGCTTTCATCCCTGCGTAGCTCAGACGTAGGCAGTTGTTTTATTTTTGCGTGAAAACGCTCTGTGTATATTTGTCTGTAGATCTCTTAGTGGGTGGATCAGATCTTGGAGGACTTGGGGATGAGCAAGACAGGGATTTGCCCTTCAGTTTTGTGTGGTGAGCAGTAAATCATTTTGCTGCATCGCATCCAGGATGCTTTCTGGCCTTGTGTAGGTAGGTATCAAGCTTTCTGTCTTTTGCAGGAACATTCAATGAATGTGCCTCTCTCTTCCAGCCACACCCCATTCCTTTCATGTTCTTACAGCCTCTCCCCTTAATGCTTGGTTGTGGTCTGGACAAGTGGCCTCTGCCATGGAGAAGAAGCAAGAAATATGATTGACTTGTGTGAATTTTCTCAGTGTGCAAGGGTTGGGAATGGAGTTCCTTTAGCCTTCTTTAGAACAACACTCAGTTCTCTGTGGAGATGAAGGAACTGTTGGGTTCCCGACAATATAGGCAGGTGGGGCAATAGAGGGGATAATTTTCAGCAGGTTGTTTGTGTGAGGCACCCAGTCACCCAGTCACTCAGGGCAGTGAGCTTGGTGCTGTGTGCAGGTCAGCAATGGATGCAACCGTGGCTTTGCCCTCAATGATCTTGACTGGCCAAGAGAAGATAATCAGACAGGCAACACACCATAAGCAGTTTCACACCAAATTAAAGGAATTTATTTCTAAGAAAGGGTCACAGAAGCAGTTGCGGGTGTGGGGGGGGGGGGTCTCGGGAAGAAGGGCAATCTACTTTTCACACTTTGGGTTAGCTTAGAAGAAAATACAAGGCCCAAAATTACTATCCAATGATGAATGATCTGTCTTTCTAGCTTCAGATTCCTAGTAAGAGTATCTTCCTGGCTGTTAGACACTTCAGTCTATATTCCAAATGCCCCTCCTCTTATGAATTTGCACGAGTGGAGGACCCCCAGCTGGCCAAGCAAGGCTATCCCACGCAGGAGGGAAAACATGCTGGACAGATGGGGGCGGGCGTGGAAAGTCATTCACACCCAGGCATTGCATCCACCCGAGAGTTTATTGTAATAGAGAGATGAAGAGAAAGATAGGAAGGAGAGGGAGAAGAGAGGAAGAGAGAGAGGGGGGGGAAAGAGAGAGAGAGGTCAAGGGTGCACATCTCCTGGGAGGAAAAGCAGGAGAGAAGAAGGGGAAGAGTTTTCCTTAAAATGAGACTTTTACATCAGGGCTCAGGGCGGTGCCAAGGGGCGGGTCAGAATATTAACACCCCCCCCCCCCCCCACACACACACACACTTGCTCCTGACTGCCCCAAGGCTCTGACTCAGGGAAAAGCATCAAGACTACCCACACCCACATCTCCTAGAGGTCCAAGCCAGAGACCTGTAGGAGTCATCCTGGCCAACTTCCCTGCCTTTCTGTCCCCAGCTGCAGGCTGTGGATTCTAAATGCTGAATACTCTCAAATTCATCCACCCTCCACCGTCACTGTTTCCCTGGGGTGGATTACTCTCCTCAACCAATGAGGTTACTGCAGTCAGCTCCCACTTTATGCCCTGCCTTCCTGGTGTTCCCCTACCACACCTAGGAAACATTTGGTAGACTTGAAGTCAGATTGTAAGGCTTGCTTATTTAACCCTTCACTGGCCTTGGGACAGGAGCCACACACTCCCTTTGCGGGGCTGCTGAGTGCAGGGTGGTATTTCTGACCAGGTGCTCTTTTCACAACCCATTTGTTTCAGTTTTAAGATTTGTCCTTATTATTTGTTAATTATGTGTGTCTCTGTGTGGGTTTGTGCACATGAGTGTACTTGTCCTCGGAGTTCAAAGGAGGTCATCAGATCCCCTGGACCTAGAGTTACAGGCAGTTGTGAGCTGGCCAACATGGCTGCTGGAAACAGAGCTCAGGTTCCTTGCCAAGTGATCCCCTCTACTCTTTGCGTTTCATTTTATTTGCAAACATGCCTTGCATTCCAGCTCCTGGAAGCCTTTGCACATGTTCATTCACCTGCCTGGAACACTTGCTCATGCACTTATTCCTGCTTTCCCAAGATCCCAGCGGGGACCTTCCCTCCCCTGGACATCCTCCCTTAGGCTCCTGTGTCCATCAGATGTCTGTCCTCCCGGGGTTCTCCACCGTCTGCTTCTCCCTGTTCTGTTGTACAGTAGACGAGCCTGTGTCCACAACCCTTCTGAGACTGCTTCCTTCTGCCTTGCACGTAGATAATGCTCAATAAATACTTGTTGAGAAGAAGGGAGTTTAAGTATGCTTTATTGAATGTCCAAATGATGGATTTACTCTATGTCAGTTGGTGGGGAAACAGTAATAGCCTTAAAATGGGAGTAACAATAAAATAATATTACTGCACAGATAATACTTGTTTTAACATATACTTTTATATAATTGACATAGTAATTATATATAATTATGTGATAGACTTGGCATTTTAATATCATGTATTTAATGTTTAATCAACAGATTAGGGCAATTGGCATAGCCATTACCTCAGACATTTATTATTTCTTTATGCTAGGGCCATCCATAATTCTATATACTAGCTGTTGAGGAATCTGGTTTTTGCCAACCACAGCTATCCCATTGCGCTGAAGGACATTAGACATTGTTCCTCCTTTACAGGGACACTTTGTACCCCTTAATCTCTACCTCCCCACACCATTTCCAGGCTCTGGTAACTCTTCTTTGGCTTCCATGTGTAAATGAGAACACATGGAATTTGTCTCTCTGTACTTAGAGCAATTAATGTTCATTGAATGCTCAGTGTGTGCCAGCTACTCTTCTGGAACTTTAGTTCATTTTTACAGTAACCATGTGAGCTAGAAGTTTCTAGTTTCCTTTTGTGAAAATGGAGAAATGGAATTACAGGACAGTTGAGGAATGCACCTGATTTTATACAGCTAGTAAGCTGTGGTATCAGCTTGAAGCCAAGGTCTGTGGTGTAACATGATTTATCCCTTTGTAGTAACAAGTGGGATTTACTCTGAGATGCCCATAGGGCAGAAGAGTATCAGTCACCAGGTGGATGATCCACTGTGGTCACAAGGTATGGGGCCATGCAGGAGAAGAATCCATGATGGAGAACTCTGAAGAGCATCCTTCCCACTGTCTATTCACCTTGTTCAGCCCAATAACTCAGTTCTCAGGGATGGTACTGCCTGGTTTCCAGCAGCGAGCCTTCCTTGATACTGAAATCTTAGCTGTGTGTGGTTTGGACGTTGCTTGCGCTCTCTGTGCTCCTGTTTTCACATCTGGGAAACACTTACAATGATGACACTTCCCTCCAAAGTTTCCCAGTGATTGACTGGGGTGGGATAGAATCACGTGCTGGTGACTCAGAATTGTCTTTCTCGTCACCCCATAGTGGTTTCTTCTTAAACTTTTTCCATTTTTTATTTGTTTAGCTTTTAAATTTTATTTTAGTTAGTTCTTTACTCCCCACCCACACACATGGCGGTCTCATTGTGCAGCGCTGGGTGGCCTGGAACTCATGGCATAGTCCAGGCTAGCTTCAAACTCACATCAATCCTGCCTGGGATTTAAGGAATATGCCACTATGCCCCAGTCAGTCCCTTCTGTGTGTGTGTGTGTGTGTGTGTGTGTGTGTGTGTGTGTGTGTGTGTGTGCCATGGAGACCAGAAGAGGGCGCCCGATGCCCAGGGACTGGAGTTACAGATAGTCATGAGGTGCCTGTAGGTTCTGGAAATCGAACCCCAGTGTTCTGAAAGGGTAGCCTGTACTCTTCATCACTGAGCTGTCTCTCCAGCCCCCCTGTTATTATTTCTTCGTCTGTACTTCAGTCAACAAATGCTCTGGAACCCAGCGCCTCCCTCCATGTTATGCCCCTTGTGCCACTTCTCGGGCACAGATGAAATGTACTGGGTTAGTTCATCATGCAAATGTGAGGATTCCTTCAGTGTTGCCTCCTTTTCTGTGACACCCTCCTCTGAGGTTTTGTGTGTGTGTGTGTTTCAGACAGGGTCTCACATTGTAGCCTGACTGGCCAGGAACTCACTATCAAGTGAGGTTGGCCTTGAACTCCCCAGAAATCCTCCTGCCCCAGCCTCCTTCATGCTGAGATTACAGGCCTGAGCCACCACACTGGGTTTACAGTAAGCTTTAAGTGACTCTGAGGTAAGTTGAGCTCTTCTGAGTCAGTCTCGTGAGACTGGTGAATCGAAAGAAGGAGCAGTGGGAAAATTAAAGGAATGCACAGGAGAGCCAGGGATTCAGCTCAGTGGTAGAGCTCTTGCCTCGTGTGTGCAAGACCTGGATTAAACCCCTCGCTGGCACACACATGCTCTTACACATGCACACACACAGGCAGATGCACAGGAAACCTCACACACCATCACTCTTTTCATATTTACTAACATACTTATTTTTTCCTATGGAAAATAGACTAAAAATGGTAAAATATAAAAATGTCAAGATGCTGTGGCTATACAGGTCATAGGCCTTAGGGGAGAACCTACTGCTGTTATTCTCCCAAATGGAAATGGTATTAAAATGACTCCTAATACCTTATTGCTATACTCATAGATTAGTGCATTTTTCAGTCCTCATCAGAGAAACCTCTTCTTACAGGAGTCAGTAATTAATACAGACTCACAACTTACGCTAAGCACTAACTGGTATGTCTGGCATACCCCTCCCTGCAAGGCTCGGGGATCACCTAGGAAGAAGGGGTGGAGAGACTGTAAGAGCACGAGGTTGTTGATGACTAGGCTCAGTGTTTTCTAGACACAGCAGGGCACGTAGGAACTCACCTCGATTCTTACAGCATGCACAAGTCCTGTGCAGACTCAAGCCAGGACGAAATCCCAGGGTGGAGATGTGGAGATGGACACAAAGTCCCACCCCTAACTGAGGAGCTATTAGCATTTGATTGGTGCTGGGAGAGGGAGGGTCACTTTTCTTTAAGGATATAACCCAAGAGTATTTTAGCCACACGAGTTGGACGTTATGGGAATGAGAAAGAGAGGAAGCACACAAAGTTGGGTGGGTAGGGAAGTGGGGGCGGATCTGGGAGGAGTCGGGGGAGGAGAGAGTATGTTAAAAATACATTATGGAATTCTCACAGAATTAATAAAAATATTATTTAAAAAATTAGTAGTCTGGGGCTGGAGAGATGGCTTAGTGGTTAAGAGCTCTGGCTGCTCTTCAAGAGGACCCTGGTTCAATTCCCAGCACCCACATGGCAGCTCACAACTATTTGTAACTCCAGTTTCAGGGGATCAGATACCTTCATACCAATGCACATAAAATAGACTAAACTTAAAAAAAAAGAACTAAAAAAGCAAAAGAAAAGGAGAGAGTTAAAAAATCAATAGTCAATATAGAATTTAGCAGGCTAAAGATCTACATCACATCTCATCTGCATCCCTCACTTTGGGGGACATGTGGAGATGAAGGGGCCATGACCTATGAATCCACAACAGGCTAGTGCAGTGGTTCTCAACCTTCCTGATGCTGTGACCCTTTAATACAGTTCCTTATCTTGTGGTGACCCCAACCATAACATTATTTTCATTGCTATTCCATAACTGTAATGTTGCTACTGTTATGAATCGTAATATAAATATCTGATATGCAGATGGTTTTAGGGGACTCTGTGAAAAGGTCATCCAACCTGCAAAAGGGTGTGACCCACAGGTAGGGAACCGCTGAGTTAGAGGCTGGTTCCTTATCCCCTGAGGCTATCTTATTTCTGTTGCATTTTGGGTGACTGAGGGCAGGGTTTCAGTGACTCCTGTCCTCATCACTGGAGATGCTTTACCCGCCCTATGATTCACAGGACAATCAATTAGTTTTAGGGAAGGGCAATTATAATGTACAGTGATTTACTGTTGATTGCAAGTGGATTTCTTGACCACTGGGATGTTAGTAACAAAGCCAATGGTCCGAGGAATCCTCATTTAGAGGAGACAGAATCCACTTACTGCAGAGCTCTCTATAGACAAAATCTAAAGAGTTGATGAAGAAGTCATTGAGAGCAGAGGCTGGGGGAAGGTGTTGCCTGTGTCGTAGGTTGAGGGAAAGAGGGCCGTGCAGGCCTGGAATCGAGGATGAGTTGTAATGTCTAGTCAGCCTGAGCAGGAGCAGGAGTCTCATTTAGAAATGAAACAGCTGAGGGTATAGCAGATCTTGAAGACAGGCAATGCAGAATTAGCTGAGGTGTCTCCCACCCCACATGTGTGTTTGGAGTCACGAGATGGAGGATAGTACAAGAGATAAGGATTCAACTTCCATTCTTTGGTGGTCCAGAGAAATTCCATAGTTTTGTGGGATACCTATCATTTGTATACACATTTGTTCTCCAAAACTCTATGTAATATGCCCCTCACTCTTTCTTTAGACTTGCATCCTCACCAATGGACCTGGTTGGTTTTGGTTATGCAGCCCTGGTGACAATTGGAAGTATTTTGGGATATAAGCGAAGAGGTAAGCCAAAACTTTCCTCCTTTCCCTCCTTCCCTCTCTCCCTCTCTTCTTCCCTCTCTGCCTCCCTTCCTAATACATTGTCTCATGTAGCTCAGGCTGGCTTCAAACTCACTACTGATCTGCCAAGTGCTGGGATTATAGGTGGGTACCACATGTCCTGCACAAATTCAACAAAGGAACTTAGTGGGGAGCTGGGGGCTGTTGTGGGAATTGGTGGCTGTAGTGGGAGCTGGTGGCTGTAGTGGGGAGCTGGTGGCTGTAGTGGGAGCTGGTGGCTGTAGTGGGGAGCTGGTGGCTGTAGTGGGAGTTGGTGGCTGTAGTGGGAGCTGGTGGCTGTAGTGGGAGCTGGTGGCTGTAATGGGGAGTTGGTGGCTGTAGTGGGGAGTTGGTCACTGTGCTGGGATCTCCTGAGGATCTGTGAACAGGATAAGAAGCTATAGATGTCTTTGAGGTGGCTGAGAACCAGCATGCCTTGGGAGATATTCATGGAGAGAAGGGAGTTATGTGGGGCCAAGCATGGCAGAGCCTTCTAGGCTTCTGTCTTTCACAAAACTAATTTCACCAGCAATTATGAATTGCATAATTAATTAACCTTCTTCAAGGTAACTTAACCCCCCCACTTACATAAAAAGAAAACATTTTATTTAAGGATACTTAATTGTAAACAAGAGGAAGGAGAAGTTAGAGTCTGGTCCTGAGAATGTTCTGTTTCATAATTAGGTATTAGTAACATTACTGTTTTTATAATAATTTATTATATATCTATTTATGCAGGAAATAGATCACTCAGCTTTTGAGAGGCAAATCATAATTTTCCAACCCCACAAGATAAATTATAAGGATATAAAATACTTAGTTACATAGTTTTTACAGTTATAAATATTTAGACTTTTCTGAACTTCATAATCAAATTTTTATTGTTTTATAGGTAGATTCTTTTTTATATAATTAATGTTCTTTTGTTTTTTAGAATGGGTCTCACTGTGTAGCCCTAGCTGACTTTGAAGTGACAGAGATCTGTCTGCTTCTGTCTCCTGAGTGCTGGGATTAAAGGTGTGAACCACCACACTCAGCTTAAAAGAATAAAAACATTAAAAAAAAATAAGTGCAGGCAGGTGTAGTTAGCTTGTGGAGTATCTTAGAGATGACTCTGTGAGCTGTAGGAAGAAAGTGTGTTTTGCATGTGTAGGATAGGATATTGTGAATACCTCTGTAAATCTATTTTGATCTGTGATAAAGTTTAACAGGGTCTCTCTTTGTAGCCCTAGCTATCCTGGAGCTCATCATGTAGACTACGTTGGCCTCAAACTCACAGAGATCCTCCTGCCTCTGCTTCCTTGCTGGGATTAAAGGTGTGCACCATCACACCTGACCTAATTCTTATAAATTTGTGGTTGTTTTCTGATTGGTTGGATGGTTGTCTATTCTCTTCTGTCCCCCCTGATAGTACCAGGGCATTTGGTGTGTGCTGTTGGACATGATAGACTCCTTCCTAGTTCTCCTTTGTTCCCGTCTTCCCATCATGAAGCTGGTCCTTTGCTGTCCTCGTGACCAGGCCACCCTCTTCCTCTTCTGTAGTGTAACAGGCAGACCCTGTCCCTGTCTCTAGACTGCCTCTGAAGACAGCACCTGCTCACTGGCCTCCAGGTCACAGATTGACAGACTCGGGTTCCTCTCTATGGCTGTCTGTGGTGGCTTCAGCTGTGACAGAAGAATCAGTGTCCACCAGGACCTACAACTGGGTTTGAGATTTGTGAGGACACTGGGCTTTTCCCAGGGCTGCAGTGCTGGGGATGTCTTTTTGTATGCTGTGAATATATGTTGTTCCCATTGGTTAATAAATAAGCTGCTTTGGCCTATGGCAAGGCAGCCTAGAGGCAGGTGGGAAATCCAAGGAGAGAGACAGGAAAGAGAAAGGCAGAGCCTAGGAGACACCAACCTGCCGCCCAAGGAACAACATGCCAGCAGACCGGTAAAGCCATGGAATATGTGGGAAAACATAGATTAATAGAAATAGGTTAATTTAAGATATAAGAGCTAGCTAGCAAGAAGCCTGCCATAGGCCATACAGTTTGTAAATAATATTAAGCCTCTGCGTGATTATTTTATAAGCAGCTGTGGGACCACAGGGCCAGGCAGGACCAGAGAAAACTTTTGACTACACTGTGTGTGTGTGTGTGTGTGTGTGTGTGTGTGTGTGTGTGTGTGTGTCAGGGGTGTGTGTGCTTAGATCTGGATGAGGTTCTGTCTCTCTTCAGCCATCCTGGGACCGTGCATCTAGAGCAGTGTGGACCTGGCTTACTTCAGTGTGTTGGTCTTTTCCTCTCCACTTTTTGGGTGCCTTGTTACCATCTTTACAAATTTGCAATGTTCTTCCTCTGATTCTCTTTTGAAAAGAGTCTATTTTTTTTCCTATTCCAACTCTTCTTCAGTGAGTCACACAGAGGCGGCTTCTAGCCTGTTCTCTCACCCAGAATTTACTTACTTTGAGATAAGATTTTTTTCTTATATAATCTCTCTCTCTCTCTCTCTCTCTCTCTCTCTCTCTCTCTCTCTCTCTCTCTCTCTCTGTGTGTGTGTGTGTGTGTGTGTGTGTGTGTGTGTGTGTGTGTGTGTGTATCTGTCTGTCTGTCTGTTATTGGAGGGTATTCCCCAGAGAAGACTGCTCGGACATGGGTTTAAACCAATAGAAAGCCTTTATTAGCTGGCCAGCTACTATACTGAGTGTTCAGGATCCCAGTGTAGCTCCAAACCTTTCTCAGGATGGGCTTTTAAGCACAAAAACTATGTTCTGGGTTGACAACCTCACTTAACAAGAACAATTAGCCAGAAGCAGAACTACTGAAGCCAAAAAGCAAAGTTAGTTATATTTGGAGACTTTCCTAGAACTGTGGACTTTGACGGGTTAGGGCTTTGTTTTCATTTTGTCAGGTGGTGCTGTCTGTGTGCTGAGTTTTACAGCTAGAATGGCACTTCCATCGTGGAGTCAGTTGTGCTAAGGTCCAGGAGCCTACTAAGGCCTTAGACCCTGTTACGCTGTGTCTGTCTGTCTGTACCTACATGCATGCATGGACAGCTGCAGTTTATGAACCCAGCTGCATAGCTGAATTCCCTGTGGGTGTTTAAAACAGAGAGATACTTCAGCTTCCACCCAGGAGTTCTAATCTAGAAGATTTCCAATTAGTTGAATTCTCTAAAGCAAGGATTACATGCAAATTATTCACAGTGTCTCCAGCATGCAGCTCTCTGTCCAGCGCATAGGAAGTGCTTAGCATTTATATGGTGCATTGGGGTGGGTGGCTTGACTAGACACAGAGGGCTGTGTCTTCTGCTCTCTGGGTGTAGTCTCCTTTTGTGTTTAAATGCTGATATCTTGAGGCTAGAAGATGATTATTCAAGACAGAGCCATTGCTTAACCTACACAGCCCTTCTCTCCTCACCCTTGTAAGATAAAATTATTTATGAAACCCATTTCCTATAATCACAACTCCTTAGTAAAAAGATGCTACCAAGGAGACTGGGGCGGGGCGCGGGGTGTGATGGAAGAGGAGGAGCCACTGAGGAAGGCTATCTTACTCTTAACGTGATGTCTACCTCTGCAGTGCCGTGTTCATGCTCTCCCGCCTTGCATTTAGTGTTTCGCAGGAAACTACCTGTGAAGAGGTCCATACTTAGTTTGCCTTCTTCCCTGTAGTGGTTTAAAAGAAAATGGCCCCCAAAGGGAGTGGCACTGTTAGGGGGTATGGTTTTGTCAGAGTGGGTGTGGCCTTGTTGGAGGAAGTGTGTCACTGTGGAGAAGGGTTTTCAGGTCTCATATATGCTCAAGATTCCACCCAGTGTCTCAGACCGCTTCCTGTTGACTGTAAGATGTAGAACTCTCAGCCACTTCTCCAACGTCATGTCTGACTCTATACTGCCATGTCCCACCATGATGATAATGGACTGAATCTCTGAACTATAAGCCAGCCCCAATGATATGTTTTCCATTATAAAAGTTACCGTGGTCACAGTGTCTCTTCAAATCAATAGAAACCCCAACTAAGACAATCCCTGTATAATGCCCACATAGGAAAGTTAGACTTATGGGTTAGACTTAAAATGATGGAATGAGTTCCTTTCGTTTTTCAACTTTCCCTCTCTTTAGTATTTGCCTTTTTTTTTCCTTTCTTTTTTAGTCAGGGCCTCTCTATATAGCTCTGGCTGTCCTGGAACACTGCATAGACCAGGCTGACCCCAACCTCACAGAGATCCACCTGCTTCTGCCTCCTGAGTGCTGAGATTGAAGGTGTGTACCACCACACCTGGCTGCAGCTCTCTTTTCCCCTTCTTCATTTTAAGAATACTTATTTTCATTATTTTTAATTGTGCATATGGGTGGGTATGTACACATGAGGGCAAGCACCCAAGGAGGCCCTGCAAGAGCGGTCTCACGATTAACTGCCGAGCCCTCTATCCAGCTCATGAAATCCCCCTCTCGGTTTCTCTCTCCTCCCACAGGTGGAGTTCCATCTTTGATTGCTGGTCTTTCTGTTGGACTTTTGGCTGGCTATGGAGCCTACCGTGTCTCCAATGACAAACGGGATGTCAAAGTGTCCTTGTGTAAGTGACGTGTTTTCCCCAACTACGGAGGATCAACCTGGAAGATGCCCCCTTGACACTCTGTACCAGGCTTACTAGAAAATGAACTATCAAAGTTAAGTGTCTATGAGTCCATGGCAAGCTTGAACATCGTTTTACTGCTTTCCAGACAGAACTGATCAAAAATAACAGTACTGACAGCCTTCCACCTCATTTCCATAACACATGTTACAGGAAGTTGAATCAGAAAAAGCATGGAGTTATGACTAGATTTTCTTTTAGCTCTCTTAGGTGTACATTTAATGTGATTTTTAAGTTGCTGTGAAGACGCCTTTGTGCTACCTTACGTCATTCTGTTTAGGGCACAGATAGCTTTTATGTACAGCTGTGCCTTAGGACTGTCTAAAAGAACAGTACTTTTGCTCATTCTCATAGCATCCTTTTTTCCTGGGCTGAGCGAGAGAGTGCCTATCGTTTAACCCCCAGGGTATCTGGTTTTAGTCTTTTCACTAGAAACGTGGATGATGCTTAACATTCTAATTTATGGTATTTGGGTTTCAGTTACAGCTTTCTTCCTGGCCACCATAACGGGTGTGAGATTCAAGAGGTCCAAGAAAATAATGCCTGCTGGTCTAATTGCAGGCTTAAGGTAAGAGCCGTTCTGATCCATGCTTCCCTGTGCAGCATTTCAGAGTGATGACAGTCTACGGCAATACCACCCTGAATATGCCCAGTCTCGCTGAATAATTTTTTGTGAAGAATTAATTTTCATGGGGATGGAGCGATGGCTCATTTACTGCTCATGCAGAGGACCAGGTTTGGCTGATGACCATCTGTAACTCCAGTTCCAAGGGATCCAACACTCTCTCTGGCCTCCATGTGCACCAGGCACACACACACACACACACACACACACACACACACACACACACACACTCACACACATGCATGCAGGCAAAACATTATTACACATAAAATAAAAATAAATGTTTTAAAAAACAAATTAATTTCCATGCTAGAAAAGTGACTCAGTCGTTATGAGCACTTGCTGATTTCCCACAGGAACTGAATTTGGTTCCCAGGAAGCATATCAGGTGTCTTACAACCACCTGAAACTTTAGGTCCAGGGGCTTAGGCAATGTCTTCTGGACTTTGCAGGCAATCACACATACACATAGACACAGACAGACAGACACACACACAAACTATGGAATAAATCTTTAAAAACATTTTTAGAAGGATTAACTTTTGTTTGAAAGGTCAAATAATTGTTACGATAAGTCTAATTATAACAGACAGAATGATTCAGTCGGTCTTTGGAGTGACAGCATTCCTCTCTGATCCACTTTATAGTGTCCCATCAGATGTACACACTTATCTTTATCAGACTAAAGAGTTAAGTTCCCCCTCAATTTCCCTCAAGATTCCTCCACTTGTAGCAGTAAATTGGTTTAGTGACAGTCTGAGTCATTGAATTTCAAAGAGAGATAATTTTTTTTTTTAGTAAATAACCTTAAATTTCTCTTAATTTGATTAAGTATATTCATTTCATTTTTTGGGGGGGGTTGGGTGATTAGTATATTAGTTGCTTTTCTGTTACAGTATTAGATTATCCTGATAAATAGAGGAGGAGAGGGCTTATTCCAGGGGGATGTTCCAGAGGCGATACTGTCCATCATGTCAGGTCAGGGACAGCAGCACTGTGTGAGACAGCCTGGGAAACTGGAAGTCAAATGATCCCATTCTATCCACACCAAGAGAAAGGGAAGAGGGCCAGGCTACAAAACCTCAAAGCCCGCCCCTTGATGACACACTTCCTCCATCCAGGCTCCACCTCCTAAAGATGCCATCACCTCCCCAAACAGCACCACCAGCTGGAGACTAAGTGTTCACACACTCAAGCCCGGGGGAACAATTCTCATTCCCACAGCTAGTTGTTAGTTAGTAACTGTTATCTTGCAATGCTGAGGACTGAACCCAGGGCCTTGCACATGCCAGGCGAGCACTCTACCCCTGAGCTACATCCCCAGCCCTGATCCTGCGATTAAATATATTCTCATGTAAATTAAATATATCATCACGAAATTAAATATATTACCAAGTAAAATATAGAGAAAATGTTTCTGATTTCTCCTGGAAGCTGCCCTTGAGTGTTGAAAGCCATAAACATTGCCTTCCTTTGGGACACATTTTCATTTTTCAGAAATTATTTCAAAGAAGAAGTATGCAAGGCCTAATGCTTACTGTGGCTGTATTTCTAATAGAAAATAGTTAAGCCAGAAAAATTACAGCTGCCCAGAAATTCACCAGAAAGTAAATGTAAATATTTTATCCATTTAAGAAATATTAAACAGGCATTTGCACATCATGCTTGAAAAACCAATTGGCATCATTGGAAATGAATAATGTCATAATAAAATATAAAAACAGTATGAAAGCACACCAGATACAGTTTGACCCAATGTTTAAAGATGTCTGTGGCAAAAACCAAGATAAGAAGGAAATACTTCACAGTATCAGTAGTATTTTGCCTTGGGTTAAAGCCTCCTGAATAGTTTGAGGGTCTTTTTTTTGCTGTAGACTTTTCTAGTATGGCTCTGAATTCATCTAGTGTGGTGTTTTTATTTGTGGTGAGGAGGTGCCCAAGACAACTTTCCAATTGTGCCCTGGACCTGAAAATTATGTTTGATGCTGGGAAAAACCAAAAGTGGGGTACTCCAAAAAAAAAAAATGCCCCTACTGAATTATTCCTTGAACCTTTTTTCTTTTGTAAAAAGATTTGTTTCTCTCTCTTCCTCTCTTCCTCCCTTCCTCTCTCTCTCTCTCTCTCTCTCTCTCTGCCTCTGTGTGTGTGCGTGTGTGTGTGTCTACACACACACACACGCACACACACATACACACACATACACACACACACACTCACACACATGAGTGTACATGCCTTGAGTGTGCAGGGGCCTACAGATGTCAGAAGACATCATCAGACCCCTTGGAGCTGGAGTTCCATATCATTTATTTTTATGAGCACCTGCCATGGATGCAGGAACTGAACTCTGGTCCTCTGGAAGAGCAGCAAGTGCTCTTAACTGCTGAACCATCGCTCCAGCACCCTTGATTACTTTTTACAGTTGCTTTTCTTGGGTAGCTTTTGGAAGTTTACATTTCTCCTGACTGTAGCATGAATCTTAAAAGGACTTATTAATAAAATCAAATCCAGGACCAGGCATTAGGGTGAATGCTGGAAGATCAGAAAAACAGAACAAGCCACAGCTTCCTCACTTCACCAGTTCCTCAACTAATCCTGTTTCCTCAGATTGGAAGCCTCTGAGTCCTCATCCAAATGGGTCTCAGCTGAACTGCTGTTCAAAAGCCTAAAAGCCTAACCAGCCAAAAGCGAAACCATGCTCTAGTTCCTGGTCCTCACGCCTTAAATACCTTTCTGCTTCCTGCCATCACTTCCTGGGATTAAAGGCTATTGTCATCACACCTAGCTGTTTCCAGTGTAGCTTTGAACTCACAGAGATCCATCTGGATCTCTGCTTTTGGAAAGCTAGGATTAAAGGCGTGTGTGCCACCATTTTCTGGCCTCTATATCTAGTGGTTGTTCTGTTCTCTGACCCCAGATAAGTTTATTAGGGTGCACAATATTTTGGGGAACACAATATATTACCACACTTGACCTTTCTCCCTTAATCTGTTGTCCAAGGTTTTCTGAGCATCAGGGTTGGATTTCTCTTATCTGTTCAGGGAATGTTTTTAAGTTGCATCTGAGAAGTCAGAACACAAGAAAAATTAATGCCTTGCCCGCTGCTCTATGGAGGGCTAATAGAACCCTCAGAGGCCACAGCACAGGAACATGACAGGGAGCACATGACCTTCCTGTCCATCACAGTGACCTTCCCTTTCTCTTCTGTTTATTCAGCCTCGTGATGATCCTGAGACTGGTCCTACTGTGGTTTTAGCACCTAGAGGAGCCAAGAGCCAAACTCCCATCATTCTCCTGGACCTGGCAGAGCAGGTTCTTGTGTTTGAAAAATGGATTTCAATAGGTGGTAAATGTCTTACTTGGAAATGAAAATGATGTTGTCACCCTAATATTCAAAACTAGTTGGCCATATTTGTTTGCCTCCTTTATTTAAAGCACAAATTTTAGCTGTTTCTATTTGTTAATCCTGGTCTTTAGTGAGTTGTTGTGTATTCATTTGTGTGTCATTTTGTATGTGGAATTTGGGGGCTTGCTGTTTTCTACTTCTGACAGTTCCAAACACTTATGGATCAAATAAATTAAACTGCAACCTGTCAGGTAATGGGATCCCTGGAGTGAACCACAGGCTGTTGAGTCGTATGTCACTTTGGTACATTAGGGATTTTGTTTGTATTGTTGCCAGGGGTTTTTTTGCACTGAAGGAATTCCATTCTTAGCTCATCAGTGTCCTAACAGAATGTATTCAATATTCAAATAAAATACATTTTCTTTTAAGCCTCCTTATTCATTTTTTCATCTTTTCTAGAAACTCAATCTTCTTTGACATTTGCATGTTTCAGTATTAGTAAAAAGGATGTCAAGGGAGTGTTGTTTGCACCAGCTCTCCATCCTTCTCAGGGCTTCTCCCTCTCTTCCCCCTCCATGTCAGATCACCACTCCATTTTAAGAACAGTTGTAGCTGGTAGTGTCCAAGGCAGTTTGAGGACCAGATGGACCACCTGCTCATTTCCACTGGCTCCTGTGGCCTCTGAGAAGTCAGTCATGCCCTGAGGACTCAGTGTCTTATCCCTAAGGGATAAGGCATGGTAGCATGCCCTCCAGGGCACCAAGACTCACAGTTTCAGTCCTTTGGTGAAATGGGAAGGGGTGGAGAGCTCTGGCTGCCAAGCTGGAAGGCAGGGGAACTTACTCTTACAAGCAGGTTGTTACACTCTCAGCCATCAGGAATTGAGAGATGGAGAAAGCAAACCCACTAGGTGAACCACAGAGGAAACCTGTACATACTTCTTTGGTACACTTTAAAGGATCCCCTTTAAAACAGAAAAAAGGAATCCCCTCTGACCCAGTAATGACAAAGAGATTGCTACCACATGCTGGTCTGGAAATGGCAGGTGGTACTTCCTTGCCAACAGCCAAAGTGGACAATGGCTTCTGTTCACACTGTGATTAACACTGAAATAAAGGCAAATCCTGTGGTCGATTGTAGAAATATTTACTATATGTGTAAGATATGGTAAATGGTGGAAAGTTTTAGAAGGTAGTTGAAGCTATGCTGCATTCTGAATTATTGACAAAAAGTAGTGAAAGTGAATGATGGTGATGTGTGAGTTTTTGTTGTTATTATTATTTTTTAATATGTGAGGGTCAGCAAAGTAGCTTAAAGCTAAACTGATAATTTGAGTTCAATCCCCAGAGCCTACAGCGTATAAAGAGAGTTGTTCTCTGACCTCCACACATGTGCCAAGGCAAACACAGGTGTACACACATGTGTGTGTGTGTACACACACACACACACACACACACACACACACACACGCACGCACGCGCGCACACACACACACACACACACACACACACACACACACACGTAAATGTAATGAGGACACTCTGACTTCCACTCACTACATACAAGTCTGTTCTAGCACTTACAGAATGCAGAGAACCCCTACTTGTTTCCTGGACTCATTCTTGGTAGCATGTCTTATTTCAAACAGGGGTTAGTTTTTCTGACATATTGGTAAGTTCCCAGTAATTTATTTCCTTGCACATTTATTATTTCTTTACTGCCATGGCTTCAAGGATGTTTTCCTCGTTATTGATACAAACACAGTGTGAAGTGTTTACCGAGTTACTTGGGCCTCTGTGTCTGTTAATTCTCAGCTACTATAGTGCTCGTGTATTTAAAAAACATGCCTTGTTCAAATTTGAATATGTTCTTCACAGTCCCAATGGATTCATCATCCAATGGAGGCTTCCTCTGGCTTCCAGGGTGGAGAAATCTGTAAATTGTAGGAATCTGGCTGATTCTGACCTTGAAGTCCTATAATGTAAAAGGCTACAATCCATGAGAAAATAATGTAGCAAAATAAATACAAAGGAGGTATGTTCTTACAAATGAGAAAAAAATGTGTGGAATTTGTATTCCCTGGAGATAGTTTAGTGGTTAAGGAAGCTTCTACTCTTCCAGAGGAGCTGAGCTCTGTTACCACAATCAGGTGGCTCACAATCCCCTGTAACTTCTGCTCAGGGGATCTGACACCCTCTCCTGACCTCCTCCAGGACCTGCACACATGCATACGTGTGTATGTGAGAGTGTGTGAGTTTATGTGTGTGTGTATGTGTGCATGTATCTGTGTGAGATTGTGTGAGAATGTGTGTAAGTGTATATGTGAGTGTGTGTGAGTGTGCAAATTATAAAAGAAAATTTGTTTTTGGCACTGTGAGAAAGGGTGAGAATAATAGAATTTTCCTACATTGTCTGTTATTGCCAAATGATACTACCCTTGTACAATGCAAGTTCCAACATTTTTATGAGGAATAAAAGTATTCATAAACTGTAACCAACTGATCTCATTTTTTAAAAATTATTTAAATTTATTTATTTATTTTACATCCTGATTGCAGTTTCAGGATTTATTTTATATACCTCTTTCCTCTCCTCCCATTCTGTCCCCCAACCTCCCCTTTGTCCCATCCCCACCCCCCAATCCACTCCTCCTCTGCTATTGTTCAGAACAGGGCCAGCATCCCATGGATATTAGCAAAGCATGGCATTTCAAGGTTCAGTAAGACTAAGCATCTCACCTTGTATTAATGCTTGGGTAAGGTGACCTGGTATGAGGGTTATGAGGAATAGATTCCCAAAAGCCAGCCAAAGCACTGGGGAGATCCCCTGCTCCCATTATTAGGGGTCCTACAAGTATAACTGTCACACATATGTAGAGGGCCTAGGTCAGTCCCATGCAGGCTCCATTGGTGTCGGTTCAGACTCTGAGCTCCTATGAGCCTAGGTTAATTGATTCTGTGGGTTTTCTTGTGATGTCCTTGACCCCTCTGGCTTATACAATCCTTCCCTCTCTTCAGCAGGATACCCCGAGCTTGGCCTAATGTTTGGCTGTGGGTTTCTACATCTGTTTCCATCAGTTACTGGACGAAGCCTCTCTGATGACAATTGGGGCAGGCACCAATCTATGAGTATAGCACAATATCGTTAGGCATCATTACTTTGACATTTTTTTTTTCTCCAATCATGTTTAGTTCTATCCTAGGTCTCTGGGCCATCCAGACTCTGGATCCTGGCACTCCAGACAGTTTTAGGGGTGGGCTCACTGTCATGGTATGGGTCTCAGGCTGGACCAGTCATTGGCTGGCCACTCCCATAATCTCTGCCACCCTTACCCCAGCACATCCCATGGGCAGGACAAACTAGGTAGAAGGCTATATGGCTGGGTTGGTGACCTAGTCTCTTCCCTGTAAGTCTTCCTTGGTTACAGGAGATGACCAGTTCAGACTACATATCCTCTGTTGCTAGGACTCTTAGCTAGGGTCACCCTTGTAGATCATTGGGAGTTCCGTTGCTCTAGGTTTCTACCTCACCCGGAAATGCCCCCCTTTTCTGGTTGTCTATCCTGTACTCTCCCCCCTTCACCTAACCCCAACCCGATCCCTCATGGTCCCATCCCCACCCACAACATTAAAAAAAATGAGAAATGACCTGAATAACAGCTGTTCCAAATAAGTTTACACTGTAATATGAAGTGGAAAAACAAAAACAAAAACAAAAACGAGGCTTCAGAATTGTAGTAAGTCTCGAATATTTTAAGTTTAGTTTTAAAATGACAAACTTTGGGATTTATCTATCTGATAGTTGTGTAATGAGATTAAGGTTTGAGTCCCAGTCTTTTTTACCAGTTCACAATGTAGAGGTTTCCTAACCTCCAGGTTCTGTCTCTTTACTCTGAGGATGCACTAAATGAGTGAGTGAAAGTGTGTTTGGTTCTTGGGACAGTGGAGGGAAGATGAGCTTCCTCCGTGGTCACTGTTGTTGTTAAGAAATGACTGTGTGACATGACATCATCTTACCTGCCTCACCCCCCAGAGAAAAGCAACTGTTCTTGAGAAAGGGATCTTGCTTGGCACCCCAGGCTGACTTTGAACTTGAGATCCTCCTGCCTCAGCCTCTGCGGTGCTACAGCCCCAAGTGTGAACCACTGCACCAGCTTAGGAAGCGCCTTTATTAAGGTTCTCCCACATGCCAGGAAAGTCACAGAGATTCACTTCCTGCAGAAGTCTCCCCCAGGTCCCTGAGATGGTCCAGCTGGTCTTACCTGCGTCCCCATGTTTTTAACTGAGCACACTGGATGGAAGGCACCTGCCTGTGTGCTTGTTTTCTGGACCAGATGTGTCTAATGATGGCATCTTTACATTTCTAGCACAGGATGTAGCATCAAGATGAAAGTGAATTCTTCAAGGATAATAGATGACTGAGTGAAGGAATAAAGAAATAACCCCCACCCGTTCATTCTCTCTGGAGTCTTTAGGAACTGTTAGATAGCGTTACCTGTAGCAGAGGGAAACCTTGTTCTCTTCAACCATTAAGATGACTTCGAGGAGCTGCACATCTGCCCAGCTCAGCCGATTGCCCACAGAAAATCTTGCCAGTGGCCTCTTAGGGCCTGCAGGGTGGTTGGGATGGTGGAGGCAGAAGATGAGGGCCACTCTCAACATATAAATTAAAATGCTCTTAGTGTGGCAGAAGAAAGTTAGATACATTTTTATTTTGTGTATGTGTTTACTTGTGTGTACATACACATGCTATGGATGCACAGGTAGAGGCTGGAGGATAACTTGAAGGAGTTTGTTCTAGTCCTCTACCTTGTGGGCCACAAGGATCAAACTCCAGTTATCAGACATGGCAGCAAATGCCATCACCAGCCCAGCCATCTTGTCAACCTTGGTTAAATATTTTGTGGAAACATGTATCCAACCCTATAAGATCATGAAAGTCATCCTTTTCTTTACTGTTTTACTGTGGGCACTATGAATCTTTCTTTAAACTGAGAATTCTACCATGAACTTCCATATATTCCAGAAGAGGAAATTCTAGTTAAGAAGAGATAATACCAGGCTTGGTGGTGGCGGCGGCGGCGGCGGCGGCGGCGGCGGCGGCGGCGGCGGCGGCGCACGCCTTTAATCCCAGCACTGGGGAGGCAGAGCCAGGCAGAGCTCTGTGAGTTCAAGACCAGCCTGGTCTACAGAGGGAGATCCAGGAAAGACGCAAAGCTTCACAGAGAAACCCTGCCTCGAAAAACCAAAAAAAAAAAAGAAAAAAGAAAAAAGAAGAGACAATACCATATCATGTGACATCCAGGACTCATGTCATCTACAGCAGTTATGTAAATTATAAACTAGGTTTTATAGAGACTGCCATGGTTTGCTTTCTCTGGCTATGATATTACACTGAGTAGGTGCTGGAGAGATGGCCCAGTGGTTAAGAACATTGGCTGCTCTTCCAGAGGATCCATGTTTGATTCCTAATACCTACATGGTAGCTCACAACCATCTGTATCCTCAGTTCTAGAGGATCTGATGCCCTCTTCTGGCCTCTGCAGACACCAGACATGCAAGTAGTCCACAAACATATATTCAGACAAAGCACCCTTACATCTTATATATTTATGTATCTAGTTTAAAAATCAAACACTGACCATTTTGGGGAGGGAAGGCTTTGTTTGGCTTACTGGTTACAGACAATCACTGAAGGAAGCTGAGGTAGGAACTCGGGCAGAGACCATGGAGGATTGCTGTTGCACTGGCTTGCTCTCCTGGCTTACTTAGCTAGCTTCCTTTTGTAGTTCGGGCCCACCTGCCCAGGGATGGCACCACCCATGGTGGGTTGGGCCTTCCTACCTCATCTAGCAATGAAGAAAATGCCTAGGGAGGCTCCCACAGGCCAGTCACATCAGGGGATCCCCCAGTTGAGACTCCTTCAGGTAACTCTGAGCTGTGTCAACTTGACAATTAAAGCTCACTGAGGTAGTTCTTCTGTACTATAGAATTATTTACCACAATCCCAAAGTACATTTAGCTTCTGTTCATTCATTCATTCATTCATTCATTCATTCATTCATTCATTCATTCATTCATACTTAGTGAATCTGAGGAGCTACACCATGTCAGGGAAGCCCTTATTTCATTATGATGAGGTCCTGGGACAGAACGGAGTCTGTCCGCTGGCTCTTGGCTGCAGCTGGAGTAGAGGTAAGCTTTGAGGTGGTCCATCTTCAGATGCACCTGAAACAGACTGTGTCCACTGAGTTCCTCACATCAGTCAGGAGGTGTTTCCTATTGAGTGTCTTCTAAGGAATGGAGCCCTGTTTGGCTTCTTAAGGCAAACCTTTAATCCCAGAAGTCTAGGCAGGAGGATTGTAAATTTGGTGGTAGACTTGACAATAGAGTGTGGCCCTTGTCACCTTGTACCTTAAATTAAGATTACCAGTTTTAAAGATACACATGAATAGATATGAATTAATAAATAGTTGAAATGTTTTTCTTACCACAACACAGACAGTAACAACTTCGAGGCGTTAGTCACATGTGCACCACATTTGGATGGAGACTTAGAGTGTGAAAAATAAATAACTCCGACTGTATAGAAGTTCACTGAGTCGTATAGTCTTTGGGTCTGGTTAATTTCAGTGTGTGATTTTCTTTTATTTATATTTTTATATCATAACATTTAAAATAAATAAGAAATAACTTGTAAATTTATTTAAGAATTAGAGTTATGCATATTGAATGTTTGGTAACACTGATGAATTATTACTGTTTTAGATGTGATCATGTCTTGGCGGGAGGTTTCTCCCCTAAAAGAGTTCTTACAGTGTAGAGAACACATTTAAGTATTTAGAGACAAAATACATGATATTTGAACTGGGTAAGAGGCAATTTGAGAGGTCACTGCTCAGCACATCCTCGGAGAAGGCCCCCAAGGAACAACCATATATTGTATTGATTACTATTCCATAGCAAAAGAATTAGTATATAACATTTTAGCAAATGAAAGTAGAGTGGAAATACAAACCACAGTTGAGAGGCAGTCAGGAGTGGACAGCAACAGGCTGCTTGTTCAGGGTAGGGCGGACACTGTAGACATTATTGTCTTGAGCACCGAGTAAGTGCCAGGTTCTTTTAAGTCCCAAGGATACCCAGTGAGGAAGACAGTTAGTTGGTCCTGCCCCCAGCATCCTACACACCTGTGGGAATACAAAGAGGTAAAAAAGGTGGCCCATTGTTGTTCCTGAGAGGGTCTTGTTTTATAGCTCACTCGCTGTGTAGCTTGGGCTGCTCTCAAATTCCAGCTATTTCCCCACCTTAGCTTCCTGATTACGGGCACACATCACCACATATGACTTCAACGAGGAGGTTTAAATGAATAGTGGAGCATCTAGAACTCTCAAGCATTTCACTAATGTTCAAGAGGTGCTGGTACTTTCCTGTATGACCGTGTTGGGTGCTGCCCTCTCGAGGCATCTTTGGGTAAGACACGTCTCAGTAAGATACCTGTGATCTGGGAGGGATTTACTTGAGTGGAAATCACAGACTCAGGAGATTTTTGCCCTTGGATAGAAGCTGGGAAGAATGGCTAAGGGTTGAGGCAGTGTCCTGGGAGGGGACTTGCAGTGCTCTCCCAGCCTTCTGGCGCTGTGTTTACACGACCCTGAGGGTTGCACTTCACCCTTGCTCCTGGCGTGCTTGATGCTTCCCAGGTACAAAGAGAGCAGCCCACAGATACAAATGGGTGCCTTTCTACTGTGTTCGTTCTGTGAGGAATCTGTGTTGGATCACGCAGCTGTCCACTTGTGGCTCAGCCTCTGCAGGAATGCGTTCTAAAGAGAAGGGTGAAGTAGAAGCAAGGAACTCAGTATCAAGGCCTCCTCTTGTCCACCCCAGCGAGACTGAAGAGGGAGCTGAGCACAGGCTGCCTTGGACCCTTGCTCAGACCTTCTGGGACTTCTGTGCCCAAAGACTGATTATGACAGACCCATCCATTCCATCGTTCTCACCATGACCAACACACTCACCATCCCTATCCGACCTTGGTGAGCCTCTTCCGATGACTGCTCATCCCCTCTGTCCCCTGTGTTTCCTGAATGGATGCTTGGCTAATTGGTGGCATTCAGCACCTCACTATCTGTCATCTAATGCAGTGTGACAGTGTATGTCTACAATCTAGCATTCCAACCAAGCAGCCAGAGATGAAAATATTCCTGCCCATCACTACTCAGAACTGTAATAAATCACAGTCTATGCAACCAGAGTTAGTACTTATTGTCCAGTGTGATATGGAGCAAGCCCTACTCTGTGTACTTTGAAAACCCTGCCCAGCTGGGTGCAGTGGCATGTGCTTAGGACCCCAGCTACTCAGGAGGTTGAAGTAGGAGGAGAATTGCTGAGTCTAGCCTGTGCAACATAGTAAGACCTTGTCTCACATTTTAAAAAAATCAATAGATGAATAGAAAACCCTCTCCTTATTACAAACGAGGAAACAAATGCTGTGAGATCTTCAATGATTATGCTCAGGCCACACAGCTATTTATTAGTTACAGCCTAGATCATAAATCATATGAGCATCAATATACAGAAAGAATCGTGATTGTTTCTAATGACTTTATTTTTATAGATTCTGTAAAGTCAAATATAATTATATATTTGATATAAGATATAAGTACAAAATGATATGAAAATTTATTTGAGGTTTTTCTTTTAAGTGTATGGATGGTTTGCTTGCATGTACGATAGAAACACAAGCACAGCTGATGCCCATGGAGGACGGAAGAGAGCATTGGATCCCTAGCACTAGAGTTATAGACAATTGTGAACTGTCACGTGGGTGCTGTGAATTGAACCTGGATCATCTGGAAGAGCAGCCAGTGCTCTTGACCACTCAGGCATCTCCCTAGCTCCCAAACTGAGCATTGTTATACTAATTTTGCAGTGTATCCCAGGCTGGCCATGACCTTGTCATCCTCCTGCCTCAATTCCAGAATGCTGCCATTACATAGGCATGTACCACCCATGTCTGGCCAAATTGATTGCTACATTTGTAGCAAGTACTGGGAACCAATCAGGGCATCAGATCAGTCTCTGGCAGCCCTGTCATGGGCTGTCTTTCTGACCAAAGTGATTGCTCTTGGGATAAGCTTGATTTCTATAGGCAGATGAAGAGCAAAGTAGATGGTCACCAATATTCAGTTGCTTGAAATAAAAAGGAAATGAAAAGATAGTGTGAGGAAATAGCAAGACATTCATTAGATTCTGACACATCATCCTTCTGGACACACACACACACACACACACACACACACACACACACACACACACACCTGAATATTTCTAAGTGGTTTGAATGGCTTAGTGAATTATTTCCAGTAACAAAATGAGATCTAGGTCATATAACTATATAGATTAGAATAATGCAAGTGAGATTTAACAATGATTCAAGGTCAAATAAATACACAAAAAAATTGAAGTGTTATAATGAACCTTTGCAATCATCAGTACCCTGATTTTTTTTCACGTCTTTAATTTTGTTCCTGTGTTTTCATGTGTGTAAATATACGTGCTATGGATGACTAGGTACAGACTGGAGGATAACTTGTGGGTGTTTGTTCTATTCCTCTACCTTGTGAGCCACAAGGTTCAAACTCCAGTTATCAGATATGGCAGCAAATGCCATTACCAGCCCAGACATCTTGTCAACCTTGGTTAAATATTTTGTGGAAACATATATCCGACCATATAAGATCATGAAAGTCATCCTTTTCTTTACTCTTTTACTGTGAGCACTATGAACATTTCTTTAAATTGAGAATTCTACCATGAACTTCCATATATTCCAGAAGAGGAAATTCTAGTTAAGGAGAGTTAATACCATATCATGTGACATCCAGGAATCATGTCATCCACAGCAGTCATGTAAATTATAAACTAGGTTTTATAGAGACTGCCATGGTTTGCTTTCTGTTGCTATGATATTACAATGAGTAGGTGCTGGAGATATGGCCCTGTGGTTAAGAGCATTCATAGGATCCCTGTTTGATTTCTGACACTGTATCTGTATCTCCAGTTCTAGAGGAATTGATGCCCTCTTCTGGCCTTTGAAGGCACAGTCATGTAAGTGATACACAGACATATATTCAGGCAAAACAGCTATATTAAAAAAATACATTTTTTAACTTAAAAATAAAACACTGGTCAAAACCTGTTTTGGATGAAAGGGTTTGTTTGTCTTATATGTTGAATCATTGAAGGAAGCTGAGGCAGGAACTCAGGCAGAGACCATGGAAGATTGCTGTTGCACTGGCTTGCTCTCCTAGCTTGCTTAGCTAGCTTCCTTTGGTAGTTCAGGCCCACCTGCCTAGGGATAGCACCACCCATGGTGGACTGGGCTACATCTACTAGCAATGAAGAAAATGCCTTACAGACATGTCCATGGACCAATCTGATCAATGACATCCCCCAGTTGAGACTCCCTCAGGTAACTCTGGGCTGTGTCAACTTGACAGCTGAAGCTGACTAGGACAGAGACTGTTAGTCCATGTCATCATATCTTGTGCCGAAGACCCAGTGATCTTACTTGGAGATGCAGACTCCTGCAATCTTGCAGCTTCACCATGAGAAGACCTTTGCAGGCTTTCCCTTATTGTGAAATCGCTCCCAGGCTGTGAAGTTGCCATAGTTCTTGGTGAGGAGCAGGGTGGAAGGGAAAGGACCTTCAGGATGAGCAGCTACATGCCGTGAGTTGTGCTCTCTTGACAGGTCAGACATGCATCCAAACAGCTGTAAGCAGGTTGTTGCATACACTGCCAACCCCAAAGTGCTCCCTCACTTACACTGTGTATGGAAGAGAATGTATTCAAGTGAAGAAGCCTGCAAGACTAAAGAAAAACTGACAACTCCTTTGCTGTTTCTGCTTTCTAGTATGAAGAGAAATTTATACACACCAACAAGGACTTGGAGAAATTAAGAAGTGGTAAGCTCAAGTACCCGAAGACCCCAATCAGAGGTGTCTTTCAGATGGGTTAGACCCCAGGTCATGTGGGTGTGTTTATAAGGTGGTTCCCAGGGATGCCAGAGAGGAGAGAATAGGAAAAATATAAAGGAGGAGGGTCTTTTGGGCAGATTTGAGGCTCACTTAACGTTAAAAAGGAGTAGGCCTCTGAGTATTTGCTAATGAAATATCCCCCAGTGCCTTCCCCTGGCTTTCCCCTTCTTTCTCCACTTTTCTTGAGGTATAGAGCACTCAGGGTCCCATGCTACTCACTTCCTGCAGTAGGGAAGAGAAAAGAAAAAGTCCAGTGCTCACTTTGAGTTCTTCAGTCTGATGACTTGACCAGTTGACTCCCTGCTGGTCCTTAAGAATCTATAGTGAGATGGTCCTAAAGTATTGGAGGTTCAGACTAGAGTGTGAGGAGGTGAAGAAACAGGAATGGATGGCAGCCATGGGGCTAGAGACTCATGCCTTCCTTGGCCCACTGCCTCCTGCGATGATTAGAAGACCACACAAAGATCCTGACATAGAAATTGTTCTCTGGGCCAACCTTGCTATCCATTGATCACCTTGTTGCATTCTCTACCAGTTTCCTTAAAAATAGCTATGAGTAGAAGTCAACACTAAGAAATAAAATTCCCTGGCATGTGTCTGGATAGGTAACAGAGACAGAAATGAATTAGCGAGCTACTCACCAAGGGCTGGGGAGGGAGAAACTATGGGATTCTTTAAAAAATACTAATTGTATTTAATTAGAAACATTATGTTATCAGGCTATAATATATTTCCTCTTGTATTTTTAGTCATTTGGTGGCTTTTGATTCTGAAAGCATATGTGTAATTCAGGGATTTTTCCCCAAATCTCTCTCTATTTTTTCAAAGATGGAGTTTTGATGTTCCAGCAAGTGCCCATGGTGGAGGTGGATGGAATGAAGCTGGTGCAGACCAGGGCCATTCTCAACTATTTTTCCAGCAAATACAACCTCTATGGGAAGGACATGAAAGAGAGAGCCCTGTACAGTATATTTCTATTTCAGTATCAATGGATATCATGAGAAGGATCTAAGTTTTTCATTAAATGATCAGATCTATGGCAGGGGGTCATGGCCACCAGCAGGCTTGCCTTGGTATTTATATTGGATTGAAGTATAGCAGAGTCCTCTGGTGATGAGGGATGAGTAACGGTAGGGTGGATCCTGGTGACTGTAACAATAACCAGGGATGTTCTCAGACACAACACAGGGATAGAGGCTGGAGAGCTCTCATCAGCTTTGAATTCGGGAGAACATTGGAACCATTATTCCAGGTGCTCAGGCTTTTCCACAGCTGGCTGCTCAGAACACGAAGTCTAGATATGAAGGATTGACAATGCAAGGATTTCATCTGCCAACTTTTAATTTCCAGGAATGATCATGGTCAGGACTAGGAAATTAAGCTACTAGCTAATTACATGGACTAGTCCAGTGTTCAAGGGTAATAGAATCGAGATGCTTAAGATGCTGGAGTCATTTGGCTCGTGTCATGTAGAACTACAGCAGCTGGATTGAGTCAGTGCCACCAAACCTGGCAGCTTACCTACCAGTTGTGGTAGAACTGCTTCACTGACATTTAGTCAACTATAGTGGCAGGGGACGTGGCTCAGTCAATAAAATCCCTCCTATCTGAGTGCACACATTGAAGGTGCGACATCCATCACCCACATAAAGGCACGGTGCCACAGTGTGCTTCAGTAACCCCAGTGCTGGGAGGCAGGAACCAGTGGATCCCACTTGCTTGCAGCTGGTCTAGTAGGAACATCTGAGTTCCAAGTTTATCTGAGAGCATGTCTCATGATGGTGGAGGCAATAGAGAAAAACACCTGGCATTGACCGCTGGCCTCTACGTGCACGTATATTCACAAGAGTATGCATATACACACACAAACATGCCAATTTATTTCAAAAGAACTTAAAATCTGATCTGAAATGTTGGTAGTTCCTCTAACAGCTAAATACAGTATTATCAATGACCCATCACTACCTCAGTCTGGTGTATATTGAAGAAAAACAAAAATATGCCCTCTTCTGTTCTCGTACAGAAATGCTCACAGAAGCTTTCAAACTATGGAAGAACTCAGCAAAATATGTAACTAGAAGCACTTGACATCCTTCCCTACATAACAGACCAAATTAAGATAAAAGCCAGCAGCTGTATCACTGGAAATAGTTAGTTGGTGAACCTGAGCACTGAAGTACCCACTAGACATTTCAAAGCCAATGCCGTCTGTCCAACCAACACTTAGGATTCGTGACCAGCAGCACACATCAATTTTTGTGGAGACTTAATTCTTTTTCAAGAATTTATGCCTTAGTGTTTCTATGTTTGGTGACTGGAAGGGGCTCAGTTTTATTGATTCTGTGGAAACTTAAAGTGGTCTCTGATAAATTGGATTTATAGATCAAATATCACCTGTCATGTAATGTTTCTATGTAGTCATTCTCAAGAAAACTACATGTTTATGTGACCTCTTATGCATTGTGCACTGCTATTCTAAGTTTTAACATATCAGTGATGCTGTAATACAGCTGTGTGCAACATACTGCACTTACCCTGGAAAATCTGCCCTGTGAATCCCCACAACTCACTGGGAACAGAAAAAAGACAATAAAAACAAGTCTGATATAGAGCTCAGGTCTTGGGCATCAGGGAACTCCCATCTGCTGAGACACTATTAGGTATTAATCCTATTATCTCAAGAGTCCTTCAGAAAAAAAATTCTCTTTATTTTCAAGAAAGAATATATGGATCTGAATTTCATCAACTTTTCCAAGTTTGCACAGCTCCTCATGCTAAGAGTTGGGATTTATCTATAAATGTTCCTTCACTCTGGTAAGAAACAAGGCACCTTCAAAAACAGAACTCCTTGAACTTTTAGGTAGAATTGACATAGGTCCCATGTATTTCTAAACAAGCCCATTATCTTACACAGATAGATGCATGCCCTCAATTTAACCAGGTTTTTTGGTTGTCAAAATAACCCAAGCAGGTTTACTAATTTTCTGTTCACTTTTAAAAAATCCAAGAAATACTTTTCCCAGAAAGGAGACCCCGATGTATAGGGGGTGGTGGTGCACACCTTTAATCTCAGCATTGAGAGGTAGAGGTAAGTGAATGTCTATAAGTTCAAGGACAGCCTGGCTTATATAGCAATTTCTGAGCTAATCGGGCTACATATTGATATCCTGTCTGTCTGATTTAGGGTTCTTATTACTGTGAAGAAAAACCATGACCACAGTAACTCTTATAAAGGAAAACACTTAATTGGAAGCTGCCTTACAGTTCAGATGTTTAGTCCATTATCATCATGGCAGAACATGGCGCTAGAGAAGGAGCAAGATCCTACATCTTCATCCACAGGCAACAGGAAGTGAGCTAAGACACTGGGCATGGCTTGAGCATATATGAGACCTCAAAGCCCACCCCCACAGTGATACACTTCCTCCAACAAAGCCATACCTACTCCAACAAAGCCACACCTCCTGATAGTGCCACTCCCCATGAGCTTACGTGGGACAATTACATTCAAACCATACATTGTCTCAAGAAGATTCAATTTAAAGCAACAATAGCAAAAAGAGGCACATGAATAAAGATAAATGGGATATTCCCCATCCCCTTCTCTTCCAACTGTACTTGGCTCACACACTCAGACTGGGAACATCTGCAGCAGGTTTTCAGAGGACTAGGAGGGCTCCATGGAGGAGTGGAGAAGCTGACTTGAAACCAGGGCCCAAGCAGGTACCCGACACTCGGTGTATATATGGGTGAGTAGATTCCATCTGAGCCTTGAACACTTCTCAGTAAACGGAACACAAGTGCCTGTTCTTAGGGAGGATATGGAGAAGAGAGCCTCTCTGAGTACTGAGTATACTTGAGGAACATGGATGAGACCCCTGTCAGTTAATCTCCCTTGGTCTCATTTTCTATTGGTCCAGGAAGCTATATGCTCACCTTTCCCAGAGTCATAGGTCAGGCTCTGGATCCTCATATTGATAAGTAGGAGGAAGTGGTTTCTAATGAAGAGCACTGGATAAAATACGATGGAAGGGAAATTCATTTCCTCTGTAACGTGGCCCTCAGCCACTAACAACAGAAAGGGGGCGATGTCTGAGCTTTAGTCCCTAATACTTCACACACCTCACTGGTTAGCGTCAGCATCACCCCCTCTTCTGCTGGACATTGCCCTTCCATTTCTCTGGCCAGAAAGAACAGTGTAGAGCCTCCAGCACAGTGTACAGAATGTCCAGTCACAAGACAAACAAGCAAAGTATACTTCTAAATGTCTTCTTAAAAAAAACTAAACTTCAAATCACACATTTAAAAGTACAGATACTTAAAACGTGGTCATGCATCTTTCTTTTCAGAATTCACCCCTGGTTATGTAGAAACACATTTCTTTAAAAACTGCACTTGAAACATGATCTCACAGCACTTGCAGTGGCTTGCACTGGGCTGGCACACAGTTGGGCCTGTCAACAACTAACCTCGCCTTTGGGAAGGGACTCATGGACTGAACTGTTAGCAACCGATGGATTCTGGAGGAGGGGAATTTGTCTTCAGTTATGTATGAGACCCATAATGGTGAGCACACCAGGTTCCAATGGACAACTCCAAACCCATAGCCACACTGCTGGTCCTGGTTAAAGTCAGTGGGTCACAAAACTAAACAAAAAGGCATCAGGGTGGAAATGGACTTGTGGGAGGAAAGATGGAGATTTGGGAGGAGGGGATGGGAAGAGGATGAGGATGGAAGGAATGAGAGCAGACAGAATGCATTATACACATGTATACAATTTTCAAAGAATGAATTAAATGCATAAAAAAGAAATTGGACAATCATAAAAAATTAGGGCTCCACACTATGCATTCTTGCAAGAAAATTTCTGGATGTTTTCTAAGCACGGTTTGTACTTTGGGGCATTATGTAACAGTCTGGGGAATTGTGTAACCATCTGTAGCTGAGTCCAGGCCTTGAGAATGCTGCTTCCAATAAGTCCTTGTGTTTCTATTCAAGCCACAAGTGTCACTGGAGCCATTGAATTTCATTGTCTGGGTCTTTGCTCTGTCCCGTTTTCTGCACTGCTAAGACAGAACAACATATATTAGATGTTGACTGAACTTAATCAACGTGTTCCTGTCCTTACAAAATCCACACAACAGGTCCGTATTCACATGCATAATACACAAAAACTAAAGTACATTTTAAAAAGTATAGCCAAACTAGTTTTGCAGGGCTTGAGAGATGGCTAGGCAGTTTGATCAGTGGCTGTCCTTCCAGAAGACCCAGCACCCCCATGTGGCCACAAAGATCTGGATCTCCAATGCTGCGGGATCCAGTACCCTCTTCTGGCCTCCCTGCTCACCAGGTACACAAAAGGCACACAGACATGCATACAGGACACTCATACACACAGAATAAAAACATTCTAAAACTAATTTTGTAGATCTTCCCACCTTTGGTTGTGGTTTATAACAGACATAAGCCTGAAACAAAACGATCCGAATGCTCTGGCCCCCAGCATAGGTGGTGTGTGTTGTAGACAGAGAAAAGAAGCCACAGGCAGAAAGCAGAGGACCGGAGAGGATCTCCCATTACAACACAGGTGTATTTTACTTGAAGTTGGGTGGCTGGAACTGCGTTCAAGGGTACAATGCAATCTCATTATACATCAATTAGACTTCAGTTTCCTAAATATGGAGAAGTATTTAAGCCAAACAAATCAACTGAATGCCCATGACACCTCACCTGTGCAGAGGAGTGTCACTCCTGCAGTCACCATGAACGAAGAACATAGGTGAGACCCCTGCCGTCAGTCTCTCTTGGTCTCATTTTCTATCGATTCAGCAAACTATATGCTCACCCTTGCCCTAGTTGTTACCGTGACTTTGGACTCCTATCCTTTCATAGTATCACACTCAAG